TCGGGAGGTTTAAGGGAAATTCCTTTTTGGGGGGAAATTCCCGGGGGGACTTAAAAAGGGTTTTTCCCCCCGGTTATTTGGGCCCCTTTTGGTTTTTATTAACCTAACTTTATGGGGAAACAGTTTACTTTGGGGGACAAAAATTTAAGGGAAAAATTTTCCTGTTTCCCTTCCCAAAGGTTTTTCAAATTTTATTTTTTAGAAAAAGGGGGCATTAATGAGATAAATTGCAAAGGGTTTAACAGGTTAACCGTTTTAAAAAATTATTGCTTACCATGTTTCCGGGGGAAGGTCGATTAAAATAAAAGCAACCTTTGGGGGGCCTAAGGAAAAAAATTTGGGTTTTTTTTTTAGGGTGGGAAGGGAAAAGGAAGGTCCAGAGGGAACTGAGGTTTTTCCCTTGGGAACCCCCTTGGGTTTGGGGGAACTTAGGGTTTTTGGGTTTTTTTTAAAAGGGCAAACCTGCTTCCAAAGGTTTCCCGCCAGAAAAATTTTTATAAGGTTGGGTGGTCTTAAAAAATTCAGTTGCAAAATGGGGCCGTCGAAATTATGGGAAATAAAATTGGGGAATTTAAAAATTTTTCTTGGGAAAAGCCTCCCAAAGAGGGCTTTATTTAAAAAATAAGTTTAAAGTAGAAAGGCTTAAAGTTTTGGATTAATTTTCAATGAAAAAAAATTATTTTTTTATTTTAAAGGGACCAGCAAACATTATAAGAAAAAGGGGACTTGGGGGGGTTGGGGCCCCAAACAAGGGGGTTACGGGTAAAAGGGGGTTTAAAAATTTGGGTTTAAAGTTTTTTAGGGGGGGAAAAGAAGGGGCCTTAAATTGGCAAATTTTGGGGTTTTTTTTTTATTTTTTAAAGGGGTTTTTTTACATTAAGGAGTCCCGGGTAAGTTACCCTTTTTTCCCTTTTACCTTTTTGACTGGGAAAAATTAAAAATTGGGCAAAAATTTTCAGTAAAAAAAGTTGAATGGTTAATTTTTAAGGAAAAAAGAAAATTTGGAAAGTTTTTAATTTTAAGTTGTGGAAAATAAAAATTGGTCCGAAAGTGGGGTTTTAACTGTATCACCCAAAAAGAGAAAAACCCAAAAAAGAAATTTTGGGAATTTTAAGTTTGGGTTTGGGCCTTTTAACCAAAGTTTAAAAGAAAAATGGTGGAAGGGGACCTTGAATGTTTTTTAAAGGGGGGAAAATTTTAGAAAGGATGGGAATAATTGGGGCCGGGTAATTTAAATGGAACCTTTGATTAATTTTTTAGAAATTTAAAGTTTTTCATTATTTTAAGAAAAAGGGATAAAAAGGGGGGATTTCAAAATTGAAAATTTGGGCCCCAAAAAAACAGTAAAAATTTTTATTTGTTTTTTAGGTAGTTTAAAAAAAGTTTAAAAATAAATTCAGGAAAAGAACCGGGAAAAAGAGGGGAAGGGTTTACAGATAATTTATTGTAAGTTTCCCGGGGGTTTTTGTAAAAATTGGGGGAACCCGGGGTTTGGGAAGGGGTCCGGGGGAAAAGGATAAAAGGGTTTCTAAAAACAAGAGGGGCCCGGGGTGGTTAAAAAGCTTTTGGGGAAAAATGGGCCCCTTTTAAGCTGCAAGGGGCCCGGGGTAAAGGGATGGGGAGGGTTAAAAAGTAGGGTAAATTTGAGGTTTTGTGGTACAAATGGTTTTTTGGGGGGAAGTTCCTTTTTGGAATTTTTTTTGATGTGGGATTTTTGGAAGGAGGTTTTCATTTGAAAGGTTTAAAAGAAGCCCCAATGATGCAAGGGGAAAAATTAGGAAAAAAGAGGAAAGGTTTTTTTTAAAATTTAACAATTTTAAAAAAGGGGCAAATTTAAGAGTTTTTAAAATGTTAAAACCCAAAAAATTTTGAAATTTGAAAAAATTTTAAGGTTTTGGGGGGTTTTAACCCGTAAATGAAGGGCCCCTTTTGGGGGAAAAAATTTGGTTTTTGTTTAAAAAATTGGAGAGGGAGTAAAAATTTAAAATGGGTTAGGGGGGGGTTTCTGGGGAAAAAGAATTTTTTGGGGAAATTTTGAGGGGGGGCCCTTTAAATGTTGAAGAAAATGGGAAAATTGATTTGTTATAGGAAAAAAATTTTTTAGGAAAAATTAAGGGAAAACCCGTTTTGAGGGGGGAAGGGCAAAGAAGACCGCAGACACAATATAGTTTAGATGGCCAAAGTCTGCAAACCTCACTCAAGGAAAAAGATCTGGGTGTGAGTATAACACTGAGCATATCTCCTGAGGTGCACATCAATCAGATAACTGCTGCAGCATACGGGCACCTGGCAAACCTACGGATAGCGTTCCAATACCTCAGTAAGGATTCGTTCAAGACTCTGTATACCATTTACGTCAGGCCCATACTGGAGTATGCAGCACCAGTTTGGAATCCACACCTAGTCAAGCATGTCAAGAAATTAGAGAAAGTGCAAAGGTTTGCAACAAGACTAGTCCCAGAGCTACGGGGATTGTCCTACGAAGAAAGGTTGAGGGAAATTGGCCTGATGACACTGGAGGCCAGGAGGGTCAGGGGAGACATGATAACGACATATAAAATACTGCGAGGAATAGACGAGGTGGACAAAGACGGGATGTTCCAGAGATGGGACACAGACACAAGAGGTCACAATTGGAAGTTGAAGACTCAGATGAATCAAAGGGATGTTAGGAAGTATTTCTTCAGTCATAGAGTAGTCAGGCCGTGGAATAGCCTAGAAAGTGAAGTAGTGGAGGCAGGAACCATACATAGTTTTAAGGCGAGGTATGATAAAGCTCATGGAGCAGGGAGAGAGAGGACCTAGTAGCAATCATTGAAGAGGTGGGGCCAGGAGCTATGACTCGACCCCTGCAACCACAAATAGGTGAGTACACACACACACACATACGGGCACCTGGCAAACCTGAGAATAGCGTTCCAATACCTTAATAAGGAATCGTTCAAGACTATGTACACTGTGTATGTTAGGCCCATACTGGAGTATGCAGCACCAGTCTGGAACCCACACCTGGTCAAGCATGTCAAGAAGTTAGAGAAAGTACAAAGGTTTGCAACAAGGCTAGTCCCAGAGCTCAAGGGAAAGTCATATGAGGAAAGATTGAGGGAAATCGGACTGACGACACTGTAGGACAGAAGGGTCAGGGAAGACATGACAACGACATACAAGATACTGCGGGAAATAGACAAGGTGGGCAGAGACAGGATGTTCCAGAGAGGGGACACAGAAACAAGGGGTCACAACTGGAAGCTGAAGACTCAGACGAGTCACAGGGACGTTAAGAAGTATTTCTTCAGTCATAGAGTCAGGAAGTGGAACAGCCTAGCAAGTGAAGTAGTGGAGGCAGGAACCATACATAGTTTTAAGAAGAGGTATGACAAAGCTCAGGAAGCAGAGAGGGAGAGGACCTAGTAGCAATCAGTGAAGAGGTGGGGCCAGGAGCTGAGTCTCAGCCCCTGCAACCACAATTAGGTGAGTACTATTAGGTACACACACACACACACACACACACACACACACACACACACACACACACACACACACACACACACACACACACACACACACACACACACACACACACACACCACACACACTCACCACTCACTCACTCACTCACTCACTCACTCACTCACTCTCACTCACTCACTCTCACTCATTCTCACTCTCACTCTCACCTCACTCTCTCTCTCTCACTCTCACACTCTCTCACTCTCACACTCTCACTCTCTCTCACACTCTCTCTCTTTAAGTTAGAGGATGGCTTGAGGGGTCCCAATCTCACAGCTGCTTTGTGCAATGCAATGTAGTAGTCACTGCTGTCAGTAAATCAGTAATGGATGAGTGGGCTTTCCCACGGGCATTCATCTCTCCTTTCCTGCTTACTAACTTCTTGATTAATAAAACCTGGGAAGCTATATTGACTTTGTGGAATATTTTGGCAGCAATTTTCTTTACCCAAACAAGGACTGGCACTAAATTCTTCTTCATTTTCGTTGAATGTCAAGCAACATTCTGGTTATATATATTGTTATTTATAAATACAATACTTATATTATCATGCAATAGATAAAAAATGAATAAATGTGCTATACTATTTTGTGATGAATTTCGTTTAGGTGTTCATAACTGTAATAGAGATATTTATTAAATATCGTAATTGTTTTTTGCTTGATGTGCTTTGTGCTTCTCTTTCAAGCCACCAATATGATGGTCTAGCTGCAGTGGGTGAGGGGTGAGTACGCTTCTGGTTCACTAGAGTGCTTCAGTCTGGTGCACTGTTAACTAGAGTATCATTGTAGTGCACTATTTACTAGAATGGTTGCTTGTAGTGCACAAGGAAAATAAAATCCCAAATGCACACATTTCCTGCCCATATATTTTTTTTGCTATCACTCACTGTTAGGAAGAATACACATTTTTTTTTTTTCCGGTGCAAAATATTCCTCTGGGTTATGCTATGACTTGCAGAAATACATCACTTATATATACAGTCAGCTTCCTTATTAAGCTCCTGTATATGGTGTGATTATCTGTATATGTAATTGAAAGATTGTCAAAAATTGAATAGTATATGAAGAGGTCTTCATAGTATGTGCCATTCAGTTTTGGGTGAACTTTTTCAATTGCATTTACAAAAAAACTATATATAAAGTAGCTTTATAAGAGAACTCACTGTATGTTTATCTCTGCTTCTCTTAGATATTATTATCCTTATCATTTCACCTGTTATTCTTGTCCTAGTCATCTTATCTTGCATCCTGTTTTGTGTTGGTTGTATAATTTATTCTAACCTAAGATTTTATAAACCTGACTGTAGTTGCATGTGTTCCATCTGTCTGGTTATGGTACTAAGATTTCATTCAACAACGGAAAAATCTCAAATTACAGTTAACATTAACTGGAGAGTACTGTACTTTTAAGTGTAAATGTTTTAGTATTTTTTTTTTTATTTATAGAGTTTATATTTTGTTTTAATGCTTATATATGCTAAATCTCAGAAAAGTGAAAGAAGAATTGGCTACACTCTCGAACATGGCAGAAACCGTCAACAACAGGCTTGCTACGTCAGGGCCGACCAACCCAGATGATGCGTCGCAAGGCTCAGGTGAAGGAGTCGATCTTGACAATCTCTTCTCCTTTCTCTCCAACATGGAGTCAGAGAAGAACGTGCTGGATGAAATTTCCCGACAAATGGATGAGTTGGCAGATAATGTTGATGAGGAGGTATGACTCTTTTTCTTAAGTGATAATAAATGTATGTATTCATAAGTAATTGCCCCCTGTCATTTAACATGTAATTAGGAATAAATCATAATTCACGAAATCATAATAACAATTCATACTTCCATGTGTCATTAAGCACATGTTTTTTTTAAACAAAGGGTACACTGTACAATAGATGAATGCTCAAATGCTATTCTCTTGTTTTCCTTTCTTCAGTTCAATTGTACCTTTCTTTCTCGAGTTATTTTCTCATTTACTTAATTACTTGTATATGTGTACTGAGCTAATCTTTAGTCTTTCTATACAGTTAATTGTCTCAGTTCAGAAATTGGTACTTGCTTCACTTTGTAATAGGTGATCCAGCATTTGGAATTTTTCAGGAAATGTCTGAAACATTTCTTCCAAATATTTTAACCCTGTTGTCTGAGAAAGTATGCTTAGGCAGGTATTTGAGTCTGGGGTAATATGAGGAGTGATCACAAAGATTATTAAAAGGTTATAATTCTGAAAATAATGTACTTAGCAGTGTTAGACATGTATATATTGATGGTACACACTGGTGGCCTACATTTCTCCATCACATTGCTTTAAGGGCCACATCCATTCAAGGGCCACATCCATTCAAGGGCTGCATCCATTCAAGGGCCACATCCCTTTAAGGGCAGCGACTTGAGGGCCAGCTCCTGGAACTCTGGAACTCCCAGAGGAAATAATGAATCAGATTATATTTTGTGAAGTGTTGTAATAAAGTTGGTAGAATTACCGACAATATGTAAAGTAAAAGGACACAAGTGCAACTAATGTGACATTTTATTATGGCAACGTTTCGCTCTCCAGGAGCTTTATCAAGCCGTTACCATGACACAGATGCACTACCTAACTGTACTTCACCTTAATCTGACGTTGAGTCAGAGAGACAAGTTGCAGATGTGAGGCTTGTCACTTTGATACTGCCTTTCTTTCAAGCACATTATTGTAGAGGGAGACTCAAGGTGTTACATTAAAGCAAAAGATAAATGAAATACAAATATAAACCATTGAAAAGTCACAATTTATTTAAGGGATTTTACTTTGATGGATATAAACTGAAAATATTGCTGAACTTCTTGATGCTTTCCTTAACCCTTAAACTGTCCAAACAGATCTACGTTCACATGCGTAGTGCTCCAAAAGTAGATCTACGTTTTTTTACATATTTTCAAATATAACAAAAAAAAATGTAGATCAAAGTTTTTTTGCACATTTTCAAATGTAAAAAAAAAAAAAGGTCTACGTTTTTTTACATACTTTCAAATGTTGAAAAAAACGTAGATCTACGTTTGGACAGTTTAAGGGTTAAGATCCATCAGTGAAATCAACGTAGGTTGTTAAGAGGGATTGAAGTTTAATGTACTTAAGCAGGAACTGAGTAATGGTGAACAGATGGTGTCAGATGTTTTAAAATTATTTATATACAGTAGAACTCCTGTATCTGTGGATTCAGTTTCTGCAGTTTAGTTATCCACAGTTTACTTTGGGCCAAAAATAACCCTTCAGATAACCCTTCAGAGCCTAAGAGAAGGTGTGAAGTGCTTCTCATCAGTGAAAAAGTAATAATTCTCCACTTATTGTACATATTTTATCATTAGTATGCGTGCATGTAAACAAAAAAACGACTCGTATATAGGGTTCGCTACTATCCACGGTTTAGGGTATCCGCAGATAAGGTGACAGACTGCTGTACAATATATTAATGAATACATACTCTACTTCAGATTGAAGCTTTGAACCGTGCAGAAGAAGCTGAGAACAGCTTGCCACCTCCTCCTGTGATGGATGCTGTCAACGACAGGCTTCCTCCTCCACCTGGTGAAATGCTCTTACCTCTGCCACCTCCCTCATCCTCCCCACCTCCACCACCACCCATCAATGGGGAGTCGAAATCAAATCGGGTTTCTCGGGAGATCATTGAAAATGGTGAAGGACCGTTACCCCCACCTCCTCCACAGGTAAAACAATGGGAAGACAAGCAAAGCTACCAAGAAATAATGTTTTCTTCAATGCATTTCTGGATAAGATGTTTATGCAGTATTTTAAGCACTGGATATTGAGTGTTAAGAGTGATAGGTTCCATTGTTACAGTAATTTTAGTGATGCATTTTAGGTGTTATGGAAAGATGTTTTATCACTTGATTTAATATTTTCTGAAGTAATGCAGTAGTAAATGGTCTTACAGATTAATGGGTACCATGAAGAAGAGAAGCCCAAAGAACCAATCTATGAGACCATTCCAGCAGGGTTGACAGGAGCCCAAACTCGTCGTGAGCCGAGTTATGTTTCTGGCCCACCACCTGCAGGTTAGTTATCCATGTAATGTTAATGTAGATGTTTTCTCATGAGGAGGTTGTTACCCAAAGGATTGTTAGCTGTCCTAGAACAAGAAAAGATGTTTAGGGGGATAATTGTCTTCAGAATGTCCCAAGAAAGTCAAGCGGTGTGTTTTATTTCCATTGGGGTCCTGGGAGCCTCGTCCCCAGGATGCAGCAAACATCAATCTGTTAGCATCCAAGTACAGAAGGGCCTCGCTTTACAGCGCTTTGCTTTTTGGCATTTCACTAACATAGCAGTTTTCAATTATACCCATTCTTCATTTATTCAGACTTCCTACAATAAATATATTCACCACTCACTATAAGCTAAGGATGAAAATATTTTAAGGTCAGTAATGTGTGTAACGTATATTCATTTTTTAGGCCTAGCTCTATTGCTCACTTAATATATGATAGTGTCGACATGTTATCAGGCTTTTATATGCATTTGAAAGTGAAAAAAGAGTATGTTTCACTTTATAGTGATTTTCGCTTTACAGCAGTAGCCCAGAACCTATTTGCTGCTAGGTGAAGAGGGGCAGTAGGTGCAAGGTGACTATCCTGTATGTCTCGTATCACCCAAAGATTGAATTCAGTTTCTTTTGGATGTAATTTGGAAAAGTATTATTTGTTTTATACATAGCTAATAGCTATTGATAATTATCAAAGTCATGCCAAGAATGATTCAGATGTAAGAAGAATGATTGAGATATATGAAAGAAGAATGATTCAGATGTTGTATTAGTTGCACCTGTTTTCTCTAACTTAACATATTGTTAGTAATTCTTCCAACATTATTTCTATTTCCCTTCAATTACAGGTCCTCCTCCAGCTCCTCCTGAAGAATCTGTTGAGTTGAGAAGACCTAGAGAGGCCACACTGAGGGAGCCATCAGGTGAGCGATGGCGCAGAACTTCAGGACAGAAGAAGGTCTCCCGCTCTCCCACGGCTCGTAGTCCGTCTCGCACAGCACGATCCAGCACAAGAAGTCCTGGAGTGAGTCAAGTAAGTCATTGTCTTAACATTTACAAATAGTGGCATGCCTGTCAGTGTCATTAAATGACACTGAAGTACTATGGTGATGTATTATATATTCTGTCATAAATTTCATTATTTTTTGTGATATAAGAGATTTTAACATTTATATGTCAAGAGTCTAACCCAGTTTTTTTCCTTATATTTTTCACATTACATTTTTCATTATATAGAACAATGATTTCAGAAATATAATCATTGCATTATGTGAGGTTCTTTTGTACATGAGTATAACAGGGCATATATCCTGGGTGTGCTTGGTGAGCACTGCACACCCACCAAAGATGGCAACATTCATCATAAATAATAATATAATCATGAATCATAATGGGAAACTAATTTTTCTGTCCCCTCTTATGAAATATTGTGGCATTTATGTTTATTATTGAGTAATACTTATGCCAGAGTAGCAGGTTCAGCACAGTGCACACCCTGTGACAATAACCACCATACTCTAAGAGAGTATAAGCAATTTGTTCCACTGTATGAGACCCTGCTATTTTGCAGTCACGATCTAACAGTCGCAACAATGGTACAGTCGAGGATCCTGAGAGAGTAGAAAGAAGAAAACAGCGCGTGGAGCGTAAGCTGCACGAGTTGGAGGAGTTGGAAGAAAATAAGGAAAATGAGAATCAAAATCACTTTGATATGATAGAGTTTGCAGAGAAGTTCTTCAACAACCACGAACGATCACCCGAAGGTAAATTCAGTTTGAATGTCAAGCTTAATATTTCACTCTAAAAATATATCCTAATACTTTTTTTCTTACTACAGTGGGATACGAACAGCTCAAAACTTGAACAGCTATATAAGTGTATTTATGTAAGTACTTTTGTAGGTGTATTTTTGGGGGTTTGAAATGGATTAATATAATTTACATTATCCCTTACGGGAACAAATCCGTTTGGTATCGGAACTCGAACAGCCTTCTGGAACGAATTAAGCTTGTATCCTGAGGTACCACTGTACATATAAGATAATTGCCAGTTAAATCTGTCTTTACATTAATTATCATATTGCATAATTTTATTCTTAGTTTTCATTACATATTAGTTTAGCTATAAATAAACCTAGAAAAGTCTTTATAGCTACAGCTATTTATTTATCTTTAATGAAGGTTTTCTAAGTGTACCAGCAATAAACATTTTTCTGTCTTCTTGCATCCCAGGCACCATCATGTCAACACTGACTCGCAAGCGTTCTACAGCAGAGTTTCTTCCCAAGTATGAGTTGATCACGTATTCTCGCTCATCTATCATCCCCACCTCCCATGTCCACCTCTATGATCCTGAAAACATCAACCTTGCCTGCACCATCTTCAGGGTCAGTCTTCTCTGCACTCACCAAATTCTTGTAAATCCTGTTAAAGGAATAAATTACAGCTATGCTATTCTCCATTATAATTGTGTTTATGGGTGTTCCCTGACTTACGATGAGGTTATGTTCCGACAGACCCATCGTAAGTTGAAAATATCGTAAGTTGAATATGAATATAACAATAAGCAAATAATTACTGTAACTAAATACCAGTATTCCAAAGTAAATAAATGAATACAAGTTATAGACTTGCCACCTTCATGCTGGGTAATTACCTTAAGTTTCATGTCCAAAGTAATTGCTTTTGCACCATTGTAAAGTTGAAATATTAACTCAAACCATCGCAGGTTGAGGAGCACCTGTATTTGTTAATTGTTGTTGTGGGATATCTTGAGTGATCCAATAACTCTGCCATTGACTTAACAGTAATACTATAACTTTGTGCCCTAGCCAGCTTTAACAGTGTACTGCAACATTTTATAGCCAACAAAAACAATGTTAGGGCCTAGATAAATTTATCTGGAAATAAATGGTATAAAATACCGACACAATGGCAATATAAACACAAATGCAGTATAATGTGATCCTTTATTGACTACGTTTCGCCCACACAGTGGGCTTTTTCAAGTCACAAACAGAACTACCTGGGGTGGAAGGAACGCGAGTATTTATAGTCCAGCTGAGGTCAGGTGAAGAATGCTGCATCTGATGATGTACCGAGTGGGGTTATAGAGTCTAAAAACTTGGGTAGCTTGGAAAGGAGATTGGATAAGTTGTGAGCAGACCTTCTACAGTGTTCTTATGTGGGATAGCGATGAAGAAGTTTCTTGGCAAGTGGTTCAGCTATGTTATAGAAGCCACTATTCTGGTTGAAGTTGTCGGATATAGACAACTTCAACCAGAATAGTGGCTTCTATAACATAGCTGAACCACTTGCCAAGAAACTTCTTCATCGCTATCCCACATAAGAACACTGTAGAAGGTCTGCTCACAACTTATCCAATCTCCTTTCCAAGCTACCCAAGTTTTTAGACTCTATAACCCCACTCGGTACATCATCAGATGCAGCATTCTTCACCTGACCTCAGCTGGACTATAAATACTCGCGTTCCTTCCACCCCAGGTAGTTCTGTTTGTGACTTGAAAAAGCCCACTGTGTGGGCGAAACGTAGTCAATAAAGGATCACATTATACTGCATTTGTGTTTATATTGCCATAAATTTCTCTTTTTTTTTTTGAACCAATTAACCAATTCAGAAGGGAACTTCTTTTGTTTGACTACTGTGGGAATTTTGAAATGTGACAAAGATTCAGTCTTTCATTGTACATTCTTAGGTGGTCTGTTTATACTCATGGCTTTTATGTAAAATTTATTTAACCTACATTGGATCCATTTTTGTTATCTGTAATACTTTTTATGATTTATCTAAAAAAATTGGAATATAAGTTTTAGATTGTCAGTCACTGTTAAAATGGTAAAAGATTTTTAATTCTTTGCAGGACCTGTGCAAGTACTGCCGAGGGGAGTTAAAAACAGAGCAGGAAACAATGACTATACAGAGCATAATTGGGCACGGCTTGGAGCGGGAGGAATTACGCAATGAGATTTACGTTCAGTGTATGCGACAAGTGACAAATAATCCAAGTGCAGAATCGCTGGAGCGACTGTGGCTCATGCTATGTCTGTGTGTTGTTGCTTTCCAACCTGGCAAGTTGCTTCATAAAGTAAGTGCTTCATAAAGTAAGTTGCTTCATAAAGTAAGTGCTTCATAAAGTAAGTGCTTCATAAAGTAAGTGCTTCATAAAGTAAGTGCTTCATAAAGTAAGTGCTTCATAAAGTAAGTGCTTCATAAAGTAAGTGCTTCATAAAGTAAGTGCTTCATAAAGTAAGTGCTTCATAAAGTAAGTGCTTCATAAAGTTAGTGCTTCATAAAGTAAGTGCTTCATAAAGTAAGTGCTTCATAAAGTAAGTGCTTCATAAAGTAAGTGCTTCATAAAGTTAGTGCTTCATAAAGTAAGTGCTTCATAAAGTAAGTGCTTCATAAAGTAAGTGCTTCATAAAGTAAGTGCTTCATAAAGTAAGTGCTTCATAAAGTAAGTGCTTCATAAAGTAAGTGCTTCATAAAGTAAGTGCTTCATAAAGTAAGTGCTTCATAAAATAAGTGCTTCAAAAAGTAAGTGCTTCATAATAGTTAAGTGCTTCATAAAGTAAGTGCTTCATAAAGTAAGTGCTTCATAAAGTAAGTGCTTCATAAAGTAAGTGCTTCATAAAGTTAGTGCTTCATAAAGTTAGTGCTTCATAAAGTTAGTGCTTCATAAAGTAAGTGCTTCATAAAGTTAGTGCTTCATAAAGTTAGTGCTTCATAAAGTAAGTGCTTCATAAAGTTAGTGCTTCATAAAGTTAGTGCTTCATAAAGTTAGTGCTTCATAAAGTTAGTGCTTCATAAAGTTAGTGCTTCATAAAGTTAGTGCTTCATAAAGTAAGTGCTTCATAAAGTAAGTGCTTCATAAAGTAAGTGCTTCATAAAGTAAGTGCTTCATAAAGTAAGTGCTTCATAAAGTAAGTGCTTCATAAAGTTAGTGCTTCATAAAGTAGTGCTTCATAAAGTAAGTGCTTCATAAAGTAAGTGCTTCATAAAGTAAGTGCTTCATAAAGTAAGTGCTTCATAAAGTAAGTGCTTCATAAAGTAAGTGCTTCATAAAGTTAGTGCTTCATAAAGTAAGTGCTTCATAAAGTAAGTGCTTCATAAAGTAAGTGCTTCATAAAGTAAGTGCTTCATAAAGTAAGTGCTTCATAAAGTAAGTGCTTCATAAAGTAAGTGCTTCATAAAGTTAGTGCTTCATAAAGTAAGTGCTTCATAAAGTAAGTGCTTCATAAAGTAAGTGCTTCATAAAGTAAGTGCTTCATAAAGTTAGTGCTTCATAAAGTTAGTGCTTCATAAAGTTAGTGCTTCATAAAGTTAGTGCTTCATAAAGTTAGTGCGAGATTTCAGTCTTAACTGAGGCAGTTTAACAACTTATAAAAAAGTATTATTCAGCAAAATAGTAGAACGACTGTACGAACAATATCTTTATAATAATTAATTGTTGAAGGCGAGGTAGGGGTCGTCCTTGAAAGGGTTGGAGAGAGGGGGTAAAGGAGGTTTTGTGGGCGAGGGGCTTGGACTTCCAGCAAGTGTGCGTGAGCGTGTTAGATAGGAGTGAATGGAGACGAGTGGTACTTGGGACCTGACGATCTGTTGGAGTGTGAGCAGGGTAATATTTAGTGAAGGGATTCAGGGAAACCGGTTATTTTCATATAGTCGGACTTGAGTCCTGGAAATGGGAAGTACAATGCCTGCACTTTAAAGGAGGGGTTTGGGATATTGGCAGTTTGGAGGGATATGTTGTGTATCTTTATATGTATATGCTTCTAAACTGTTGTGTTCTGAGCACCTCTGCAAAAACAGTGATTATGTGTGAGTGTGGTGAAAGTGTTGAATGATGATGAAAGCATTTTCTTTTTGGGAATTTTCTTTCTTTTTTGGGTCACCCTGCCTCGGTGGGAGACGGCCGACTTGTTAAAAAAAAAAAAAAAAAAAGTAAATGGATTTTACAGTATTAATTAGAAGTAAAAAATAAAAAGAGGAAAACCTTGTTTTCCTACCTTGGGGGGAAACAGTAAGTATGTTCAAAATGGAACTTTAAATAAAGAAAAAAAAAACTTTTTCTGCTGTTCGCTGAATTATTCATAATGTCATTAGCTGATCACTCTCACTCTGCATAAAATGCTCTACTCTTTTTAGTATCCTACTGCCTATGCCATATATTTTAAACACCTTCCACATTGCTTCAGTATTCCCTGTGATCCTTTTTTTTTTCTTTTTAATAAACTGGCCGTATCCCACTGAGGCAGGGCGACCCAGAAAGAAAAATGAAAGTTCTTCTTTTTAAATTTAGTAATTTATGCAGGAGAAGGGGTTACTAGCCCCTTTCTCCCTCCCTGTGATAATATTTGAAATAAATGTGTTTCTAACATTTTTTTTTTTTTATGCCCAGTATTTTGTGAGTTTCTTGCAAAAGAACCTAACCCTTGAGGGCAAGTTACGGCAATATGTTCAGTGGTGTTTGGAGAACTGCAAAAATACGAAGGTATCGAGCAGACGACTTCCACCATCTTCAGTTGAAATAGCCGCCATGAAGAAACTGGGAACCATTGTTTGCAGGTGCTTAGAATGATTCTTATTTATTTTATTTTATGTGCATGATTTTTTTCTTTATTTTGTTTGTTTTATGCCATTACTGTAGCAAGTAACATAGCAGTTATTGTGAGTGTTGAAGAATTAGATGCATGTGCAATATTATGTACCTTTATTTGTAAACATTTCACCATCCAGTGGCTTTATCAATACAAATTCAAGGACATAATGGGAAGACTGCAGAACTATATACAAAAGATAATAATCAGTCCCTCAACCGGTAAAGAATACCATATAGCATGTACTAATAGAATATTCAATTCTCCTGCATTCATTGTAACTCTTACACAAATAACCTGCACATAAAAGAGAGAAGCTTACGACGACGTTTCGGTCTGACTTGGACCATTGACAAAGTCACACAAAGTGTGACTTTGTCAATGGTCCAAATCGGACTGAAACGTCGTCGTAAGCTTCTCTCTTTTATGTGCAGGTTATTTGTGTATCGTTCCAGTCACGGTATTGTGCCTTTTTTTGTTATTGTAACTCTTAAGTTTATTTTTACAACCTCCTAAGAGACTGTATATGTAAGCACTCAATCATTGCCTTATTAATCTTAAGATAGTCTTAAGTTTGTGGTGAATGCTCTGCATATTAAGAGGCTTTCTGCATGTACACCTAAACATCATTCACCTCTGTACAAACATTGTATCATGCTGAAGTAAGGAATCTTAATCTTTAGTCTTATTCAGAGAGCTGAAGAGCAGTTGTTGAGGTAATTTGGTCATTTAGAGAGGTTGGAGCAAAATAGAATGACTTGAAGGGTGTATAAATCTGTAGTGGAGGGGAGGAGGTGTAGGGGTCGTCCTAGGAAAGGATGGAGGGAGGGGGTAAAAGAAGCTTTGTGTGCAAGGGGCTTGGACATGCAGCACATATGTGTGAGCGTGAACGGAGACGAGTGGTTTTGGGGACCTGATGAGCTGTTGGAGTGTGAGCAGGGTAATATTTTATGAAAGGATTCAGGAACACTGGTTAGCCAGACTTGAGTCCTGGAGGTGGGGAGTACAGTACCTGCACTTTTAAGGAGGGGTTTGGGATATTGGCTGTTTGGAGTAACATATAAACTGTCATAACTGTCATAATTGGGCACCTCTGCAAAGACAGTGATTATGTTTGAATGATAGTGAAAGTGTTTCTTTCTTTTTTGGGTCATCCTGCCTTGGTGGGAGACAGTCAGTGTATTAAAAAAAAAATAGCAGTAACAAATGGATTTAGTAATGTATTTATTTCCACTGTTTTAGATTTTTCTTCTTGGATGGCCGCACCAAAGCTATCGATGTCCATCCCCGGGACACAGCTAGCGATGCTATGCAGAAGTTGGCTGACAGACTGGGTCTGGGAAGTCTAGAAGGATGGGCTATATATGAATCTGGGTCTGATGGTGATAAACACGTGAAAAGTCATGAATACCTCTACGACGTTATATCGTCTTGGGAGATGTAAGTTGCTGTAAATCTCATTCTCTGTGGTGTGTTTTTCTTAAAAAAGTCAGTATACGGTATTGTATGAAATATGCAAATTATTGTGTGTAAAATAAAAGTTATTGAAACTCTGTAACAGAAGTACATTTTAATATTATATACTAGTACTGTATATGAAATTCATGTTTCTATGACTGATTTACTTTTTGCACCAGAGTGAATGCAGTACCATATTTAATTTATATTGGCTGCTAGAACAATTAAGTAATTTATAAATTCTGTTTGTTAAAGGAAGCAACAAAAAGCTGGAAGTACTGGTATGTATGGTACTCTCAATAAAAAGGCATCACAGACAGTAAGCGCCGGAGAGAACAGATTTGTGTTCAGGAAGCGTCTGTTCCGAACACCTCGGGAGATTCCCAGTGATCCTGTACAAGTGAACCTCCTCTATGCCCAAGCTGTACATAGTGTTGTCCGGGTAAGTGGCAGTGTGTATGCAACCTTATATTTGCTCGTAATGTTTGTAAAAATAACCATTTGTGAAATAAATTTTTTAACGTGACAGACAGTGTAAATGAATGACTGAACCGTAACGTTCCTGCTGATCATTCTTCAGAGTTCAAGCACTGTACTTCCTACCTCTAGAACTCAAGTTTGGCTTTTTATTTCCCTGGGTCCCTTTATAGATGTTACCATGCTTGCACTCCAACAGCATGCCAAATATAGGTGTTACCATGCTCACACTCCAACAGTATGGCAGATATATGTGTTACCATGCTCACACTCCAACAGTATGCCAAATATAGGTGTTACCATGCTCACACTCCAACAGCATGTCAGATATAGGTGTTACCATGCTTGCACTTCAACAGTATGTCAAACATAGATGTTACCATGCTCACACTCCAACAGCATGTTAAATCCCAGCAAGATGTGCAATTTGCATATATTCCTCTCATCTCTCCCAATACGATTCACTCTTTAATTTCTGACTAATGTTGAACAAGATTACATGGCATATACCACTCTCAGCCTTCTTCCAAATTCTGCATAATAATTTTTCTTATTTCTAAAACCTGTTGTGTATGTTTTCTTATCATTTTGCACCTAATCTGATGTAAGAATTTGTTCTCCATTTTCTATATTCTTATTGCTGTGTTTTCCTCATAGATTATTTGTGTGGAAAATTGCATTTATCTGTATGTATAATTATGTACATAACAGTAAATGAACATAGATAATTATTATTTATCAGTTAGACAAGTAGGAATTTGGGACACCTAGGTCGCAAAAATGTCCCCCTTCGATACCTACCACTGTCATATCCATAAGTTGCTCTGGACCTATTAATTAAATGAAATATACATACACCAGGAATACTGGTAAATATATAAATTTGTGGACTGTATATTAAAAATAATAAATGGTTATATATATACACAATTACATAATAGAAGGAAAATATATCTTAATATCACTCACCAATTTGACTGGATATTAAGTTGTATCATACTCAGAAAAACCTCACTAGCTAAATCTATGAAAATAATGCTGGCCAGAATTACACACAAATCTAGAGAGCTTATCTGAGGTTCCTGGAGCTGTCTTATCCAGTCGTCTGATATCTCAAGTTATGCAGGAATGCACATCCACCAATTTCGCCTCCTATTTGAGAGGTGTCAACACAATTTTAACCTCTAGAGCACAAAAAATTCTTCCCCATTCACTCTAACATTCTATTCAATTCAAAACCAAGATGGCGAGTGTCTCTTCTTTTTTTCGATAACATACTTCTTTTAAAAATACAATATAGGGCATCTATTTACCTATAAATTACCGTATTTCCGGAAAATATATACAGTATTTTCCACAATTTGTGTTACTTCATCCTGTTTACTCTGTTATGCAATATTTTACAATAATAATTGTACATGAACATAACCATGTTAGATAGTGGAGGCAAAGGGTTTTTATGATTTGACTTGCTGTTGGAGTGTGAGTAGTTTAACATTTATGAAGGGATTCAGGGAAACTGGTTAGTTGGTCTTGAGTCCTGGAGGTATGAAGTACAGTGTCTGCACTCTGAAGGAGGGGTGGATATGTGTTTCAGCAAGACAGTGATGAAGTGAGTGATGATGAAAGTGTTTCTTCTTTTCGGGTCACCCTTGGCTCAGTGGAAAACGGCTGACATATTATTAAAAAATAATAATTGTACATTTTATTATTTTGCAGGCAGACGATTTCCCAATCAACGAAAAAGTCGCACTCCAGTTAGCAGGTCTTCAAGCACAAGTAGCGCTTGGTGATCCACAAGACGGCAAGACGGAGTTTTATGCTGATATGCAGTCATATCTGCCCAACCGTATTGCCCAGACTAAAAAACAAGCAGAATGGGTATGTGCCCTAAATGAATAGAACAGAACTATAGTGTTGCATTAGTATACCCCATTTCTCTTGATTATCAACATGTGAATTATGAAAATTTCTGAATTCATTATGATTATGACTTAGTAAAATGTCTGGTAGGGATAAAACTTTTTCTTTTAAGGTGGGTGAAGTTACTTTTATCTGCACCCATATTCAGTATCCATATATTATCACTTAGATATACATATGCATTTACAGTGTTGGAATGATTCTAAAAGTCCCAAAACAATATTTAGTTGCATAAATAATGTATCTAAAAGTTTCACAACAATGTTTAGTTGCATAAATAATATATCTGAAAGTTCCACAACAATATTTAGTTTCATAAATCATAATTTCTATAAAACATTTAAACACATAATAAAGTGATGGTTGACGCAGCATGTGTTCCCACAGGTGCCCATCCTGGCTCAGGCTCATCGCCAGTATGGTACGGGGAAGACAGATATTGTAGCCAAAGTGTGGTACTTAACGTGTGTTATGCAGTTTCCACTCTATGGAACCACCATGTTCCAAGTGTCTTACCGAGGATATTGGTCGTACGGCAACACGCTCATTTTGGGAATTAACTGTGATGGAATTGCTATGATCAAACCAGATGATAAGTTTATTTTATATGAATACAGATATTGTGATATAGAATCAATCTTCTTAGATCCCAGGTATGTCCATCATTTTTATCCTGTTAATAATACAGTGGTACCTCAAGTTTCGAACAGCTCCCAACTCGAACAATTATGTAAGTGTATTTTTGGGGGTCTGAAACGGACTAATCTAATTTACATTATTCCTTATGGGAACAAGTTCAGTATCGGCACTTGAACAGCCTTCTGGATCGAATTAAGTTCGTAACTCGAGGTACCACTATATTGTGAAATTATAGGAGGGACCCCTGTATGTACAGCATCTTCTTTTCAGTGTTCGACATATTTGTTAGCTTCATATTGAGCCATTGTTTATTTTGTTCCACCCACTGGTGACTATTGCCGGTGGGTGGAACATAATGAGCAGTGGCTCAATTTGAAGACAACGAAAATGTGGAACACCAAAAAGAAGATGCTGTATATGAGTGTGTGTGTGTGTTCCCTGTCCTCTTCTCCGCACTCAATGGCCTCTTAAATATTTTGTCTTATTTAATAAATATGCTGACAATTTGATTTCAGTTAGAACCACTATTTCTTCTTTTTTGTTTGTAATGTCACTTAAACAATTTGGAATGAATGATGGGAGATGTATTTGTGTCTCTGACTTGCCATTCTGAGGTGGAAACAGCAAATGTCTTTAAAAAACACGTCTCTTAGCTTTTATTTTTTTAAATAACTCTCTCTATTATTTATGTTGTTTACCAGTTTGGCTGCGTGTAATTTCCTGTTGATGTTGGAAGTTGTAATGTACTCGAAGATAATGTACATACCCAGGCACCTTACACCTTCAACATAACAGTGATGTGGTATGGGAAGGTGGATGGAATGCAGTGTATAATGTTTAGTGGGAATAGAATATGGAGTGTTGTTGGAATACACAGGGAGAGAGGGAGGGAGTGAGTGAGGGAGGGGTGGAGAGTAAATTAAAAGTGTTCTTTCATATGAAGAAAGAAATAAAAGGAATAAGAGAGAATGAATGGGAGGAAAAGAATATGAAAGAGGAGATGGCATGACTGTAAAAAGAGAGGGGGATTCATCTTAGTACAGTGGAACCTCAAATATCGAACTTTCTTCTGTCCAGAAGGCTGTTCGAGTGTCTTTACCGAATGAATTTATTCCCATCAGGAATAATGTAAATTAGATTAGTCCATTTCAGACCCTCAAAAATACACTTATAAAAGCACCTACAAAAATACACTTACATAATTGGTTGTGTTGGGAGCAGTTCGATTTTTGAGGTTCCACTGTACTGTACATTTTTTTTATTTTGTTGTTAAAATATAATTACATATGGATGATAGGTCAGGAAGGCATCTACAGTTCTAACATGGGCATCTATGGGAAAATAGTTCTGATTTCCAGATAGTCTTCAGAAAAACATTAATATTATAAGTGATTAACATACTGTTTCCTCTCGAAAATGATGGAATAATGTAAATTGAAATATCTGTTTGTTTAACACACCAGCCATCTTCCACCAAGGTAGTGACAAAAAGATCTGTCTCATCAACATAGAGTAACTGTGATAATTCCCACTTTGTATCAGATCCATTATTTTTTCTAATCTCACACCTGTTGCCAATACCCTAGCATTCACTTCTTCTATAACCCCATCCATCTACTTGGTCAAAACAGTCAGTAAAATTAAAATATACTAAAAAGTTCAGGTTAATAAAAGTGGATTCGGTTTCAGTGACAACTTTATCACCATCAACTTACTGCGCACACTGCCAGACACACACAAGTGTTTTGTGTTTGAGACCAGAGAGAAGCAAGAGATTGGCTTTCTTATTGCCAGTTACTCACCCTTGTTGGCCTCCTGGATCAAAGATATGGACTCCAACAAAAAGGTTAGTTGCACAGCCTAGGTTTTTTTTTTTTTTTTTTTTTTTTTTTTTTTTTTTTTTTTTTTTGAGCACAGCGGCTGTCTCCCTCTGGGGCAGGGTGGCCCAAATAGAAGAAACGTAAAGTTTTTCTTTTTACTTTTAGTAATTTATACTGGAGAAGGGGTTACTAGCGTCTTGCTTCTAATATATACAGGAGAAGGGGTTACTATCCCCTTGCTCCCAGCATTTTACTCACCTCTTACGATACGCATGGCTTACAGAGGAAGAGTTCTTTTCCACTTCTCCCATAGAGATATAATGTAAATATTTGTTATTAATAAATTGATTTTAAGTAAAGGCAGCAAAATTTTATGAAATTGTAAATCTGAGATTTTTGTCAATTATAATGGAATCCCCAGTATTTTGCCACTGCACATTTAAAATCATTTACAGGCATATATTTTTATATACTGCTTTTCAACTTGGTTTTGTTTTAATCGTGTTGATGTATTTACTCTCCGAACCTCATGATTATGGTTTTGACACATTTATGAGATAGGCTGTGTTAGTCATTAGTTTCAAATTATTTTCCACACCTGATAACCCATCATTTCAACTCGGTGCATCATGCCTACCATCAGTATATAGAGGCTATGAAGATTATTTCCTCTGACAGAAACATTCTATATAAAACTCCCAAATTATTCTTCAAACAGAATAATAATTTGTATTCAAAGCTATTTTATTACACCATAAAGTAGGAGAATTTCAGTAAAATTGTTTGAAAGCTATGAGCAGCTAGAGTACAGTACTCCATTTGAAAAGTGGATTGAAAAGGGTAACAGATTTGAGGAAGGTTTTACGTATTTTGTTAGCCAATATACAAACAAGATGTGTTTTTGGTTTGTTAGTCTGTTTTTTCGTCTTTATGTATGTATTCCTGAACTTTCTTAGTTGTTAATCAATTATAAATGTTGTCACTATGATAACATGGAGCTGAACTTGTTTCCTTTTAACAGAGGTAACATAGTTTTGAATAGGTGGTAAGTTACTAAATGCTGTAAAGAGTTTTTATGAGGATAGTGAGGCTCAGGATAGGGTGTGTAGAAAAGAGGGAGACTACTTCCCGGTAAAAGTAGGTCTTAGACAGGGATGTGTAATGTCACCATGGTTGTTTAATATATTTATAGATGGGATTGTAAAAGTAGTAAATGCTAGGGTGTTAGGGAGAGAGGTGGGATTAAATTATGGGGAATCAAATACAAAATGGGAATTAACGCAGTTACTTTTTGCTGATGATACTGTGCTTATGGGAGATTCTGAAGAAAAATTGCAAAGGTTAGTGGATGAGTTTGGGAATGTGTGTAAAGGTAGAAAGTTGAAAGTGAATATAGAAAAGAGTAAGGTGATGAGGGTATCAAATGATTTAGATAAAGAAAAATTGGATATCAAATTGGGGAGGAGGAGTATGGAAGAAGTGAATGTTTTCAGATACTTGGGAGTTGACGTGTCGGCGGATGGATTTATGAAAGATGAGGTTAATCATAGAATTGATGAGGGAAAAAAGGTGAGTGGTGCGTTGAGGTATATGTGGAAACAAAAAACGTTATCTGTGGAAGCAAAGAAGGGAATGTATGAAAGTATAGTAGTACCAACACTCTTATATGGGTGTGAAGCTTGGGTTGTGAATACAGCAGCGAGGAGACGGTTGGAGGCAGTGGAGATGTCCTGTCTAAGGGCAATGTGTGGTGTAAATATTATGCAGAAAGTTCGGAGTGTGGAAATTAGGAGAAGGTGTGGAGTTAATAAAAGTATTAGTCAGAGGGCTGAAGAGAGTTTGTTGAGGTGGTTTGGTCATTTAGAGAGAATGGATCAAAGTAGAATGACATGGAGAGCATTTAAATCTGTAGGAGAATTAAGGCGGGGTAGGGGTCATCCTCAAAAAGGTTGTAAGGAAGGGGTAAGGGAGGTTTTGTGGGCAAGGGGCTTGGACTTCCAGCAGGCGTGCATGAGCGTGTTTGATAGGAGTGAATGGAGACGAATGATATTTGGGACCTGACGATCTGTTGGAGTGTGAGCAGAGTAATATTTAGTGAAGGGATTCAGGGAAACCGGTTATTTTTATATAGCTGGACTTGAGTCCTGGAAATGGGAAGTACTATGCCTGCACTCTAAAGGAGGGATTCAGGATATTGGCAGTTTGGAGGGATATGTTGTGTATCTTTATACATATATGCTTCTAAACTGTTGTGTTCTGAGCACCTCTGCAAAAACAGTGATTATGTGTGAGTGAGGTGAAAGTGTTGAATGATGATGAAAGTATTTTCTTTTTGGGGATTTTCTTTCTTTTTGGATCGCCCTGCCTCGGTGGGAGACAGCCGACTTGTTGAAAAAAAATAAAAGAAACATAGACTTGGCTGAGACTGAGATATTGGTTTCTAATCTTCCTTATTTATTTTGTTAACACATTGACCATTTCCCACCAAGGCAGGGTGACCCAAAGAAAGAAGAAACACTTTCATCATCATTCACTTCATCATTGGCTTGCCAGAGGTATGCTGACAGTACAGTTCAAAAACTGCAATGCATCACCATCTTCCTATTAGATAAATTTTTTAAGCTTTGTCTGTTTCCCTGTGATGAATGGTACAAAAAAAGCTAAAATACATTTACTTTCTTATTCAGGTGAAGCAAATTACAGGTGAAGACAGGGTCAGACTATACTACAACCTGGTGCATACCAGACGACAAATCATTGATGCCGGTATACTCAGGAAACCTCAGGACCAGGGCGGTAACTTCATTGTTAGCACGCTCAGAAGGTATGAACACAAGCCAACACTTGGTTCAGCTTATAGTTTTAACAGTTTATTCTTGGTGAAAGGAATAGGGGAGGGAGGGAATTTGTGTCAGAAAATATTAGAGTGTGACTTTGTAAATGGTCCAAATGGGACCAAAACATCGTCGTAAGCTCCTCTCTTCTATGTGTGGGTTATTTGTGTAATATTGGATAATATTGCATAATAGTGGTTCTCTTCTGTGCCTACCAGTTTTTTTTACATATAAACTCCATTATTTGTACCTCATAAGAAATAAAAATTTGTATGTGCTGTATTCGTATAAAGATCTATTCAGTGTACTGTAAAACACTGATTATGGAGGAATGTTTATTGTAGAATGTTTCACCACAGAATAACTTTATCAAGTGCATAAAACACAACAGAAATCACAACTTAATAATACATCCAAGATGTGAGGTTCTGAGTGTGCGAGGTTCAGGACATCTGGTGTTGAGTGATTGAGGTTCAAGAAGCAGGAAAGCCATAGGGGCCCTTCAGGAGAGCCAGACGTCTATTAGGGGAGGCAGTAGGCCTTTTTAGGGGGATCTAGAAAGTTACCCAAAGGGGAACCAGCGACCTATCTGGGGGGAGCCGGGCAGGCTATCTAGGGGAGGCGGGGCCTATTTAGGGGACCCGCAAGCTTACCAAGGGGAACCCACCCCTATCTGGGGGGAGCCAGCGGGTCTATCTAGGGAGGCGGGGCCATTTAGGGGGATCCAGCAACCCTATCAAAGGGGAACCAGCCCATCTAGGGGGACCCAGCAGGTCTATCTAGGGGAGCCAGCGCCACTAGGGGGGCCGCAACGTATCAAAGGGGGAAACCAACAGACCTTCTGGGGGAGCCAGCAGGCCTATCAGAGTGAAGCAGCGGCTTCCCTTTTGAAGAAACCAGTATAATGCTTTTGAAATTGAAAAAAAAAATTACCACATGAAAAAGGAAAAAAAAATCCAAGCACTCTATATACTTACACAACCACACATTTTCCCTTTAAAAATATGTATGTCAGCACATAAAACCCCTCAGGTTTTATTTCCTATTTCCTGTGGATTTTTTAAACACACTATTATTTTGTAAAATTCAAAAGGCCAAATTGCAAAGGAAATTGATAGGGAAAATTCTCTCATCATTCTAAACACTTCACATCAGCTGCCTAGTCGGTCTTCAGTAAGTCACAAACAGTTTTCTTTTCTTGGTTCTTATAAATCAGTTTACCCTTTTCTTATCACAAAGTTTTCTCTTCTCAATACATTTTAAAAATTATCCATTTATGTTACATGTGTGTTCCCTACATCAGAGTGCAGGCTTTTTTATCCCCTCCCGGAAGTTAATCTCAACCCCTCCTTTAGAGTGCAGGCATTATACATCCCCCCCAGGACTGTTCATCCAACCCTCCTTCAGTTCAGGCATTTTACATCCCCCCCCCCAGGGCTGTTACATCCCCACCCATCCTCAGGTGCAGAATTTTACACCCCCCTCCAGGCTTTACATCCCCACCCTCCCTTTAGGTGCAGCATTTTACATCCCACCTTTGACTGTTACATCCCCCCCCACCTTCAGGGCAGACATTAACATTCCCCCCTTCGGGTGTTACATCCCCACCCATCTTTAGAGTGCAGACATTTTAAAAATCCCACCAAGTTACACCCCCCCATCCCTTTGGTGCAGACATTGTCTCCCACCCTTTAGGACTGTTACATCCCACCCTCCTTAGAGTGCGACATTTTACATCCCACCTTCGGAGTTAATCCCACCATCCTTCAGAGTGCAGAATTTACATCCCCCCTCCGGACTGTTACCCCCACCCATCCTTCAGGTGCAGGCATTGTAATCCACCCCAGGACTGTTAACCCCCCCCATCCTTCAAATGAGGCATTTTTACATCCCCCCTTCAGGAGTTCATCCCCACCCCTCCTTCAAGTGCAGACATTTAAATCCCACCCTTTGGACTGTCACCCCCCCCTCCCTTAGAGTGCAGACATTATACATCCCACCTCCAGGACTGTTACATCCCCACCCATCCTTCAGAGTGCAGGCATTGTACATCCCACCTCCAGGACTGTTACATCCCCACCCATCCTTCAGAGTGCGGGCATTATACATCCCACCTCCAGGACTGTTACATCCCCACCCATCCTTCAGAGTGCGGGCATTATACATCCCACCTCCAGGACTGTTACATCCCCACCCATTCTTCAGAGTGCAGACATTATACATCCCACCTCCAGGACTGTTACATCCCCACCCACCCTTCAGAGTGGGCATTATACATCCCCCCTCCAGGACTGTTACATCCCCACCCATTCTTCAGAGTGCAGACATTATACATCCCACCTCCAGGACTGTTACATCCCCACCCATCCTTCAGAGTGCGGGCATTATACATCCCACCTCCAGGACTGTTACATCCCCACCCATTCTTCAGAGTGCAGACATTATACATCCCACCTCCAGGACTGTTACATCCCCACCCATCCTTCAGAGTGCAGACATTATACATCCCACCTTCAGGACTGTTACATCCCCACCCATCCTTCAGAGTGCAGGCATTGTACATCCCACCTCCAGGACTGTTACATCCCCACCCATTCTTCAGAGTGCGGGCATTATACATCCCCCCTCCGGGGACTGTTACATCCCCACCCATCCTTCAGAGTGCAGGCATTATACATCCCACCTTCAGGACTGTTACATCCCCACCCATCCTTCAGAGTGCAGACATTATACATCCCACCTCCAGGACTGTTACATCCCCACCCATCCTTCAGAGTGCAGACATTATACATCCCACCTCCAGGACTGTTACATCCCCACCCATCCTTCAGAGTGCAGACATTATACATCCCACCTCCAGGACTGTTACATCCCCACCCATCCTTCAGAGTGCGGGACATTATACATCCCATCTCCGGACTGTTACATCCCACCCATCCTTCAGAGTGGGGCATTATACACCCCACCTCCAGGACTGTTACATCCCCCCCTTTCTTCAGAGTGCAGCATTATACATCCCACCTCCAGGACTGTTACATCCCCACCCATCCTTCAGAGTGCGGGCATTATACATCCCACCTCCAGGACTGTTACATCCCCACCCATTCTTCAGAGTGCAGACATTATACATCCCACCTCCAGGACTGTTACATCCCCACCCATCCTTCAGAGTGCGGGCATTATACATCCCACCTCCAGGACTGTTACATCCCCACCCATCCTTCAGTGTACAGGCATTGTACATCCCACCTCCAGGACTGTTACATCCCCACCCATCCTTCAGTGTACAGGCATTGTACATCCCACCTCCAGGACTGTTACATCCCCACCCATCCTTCAGAGTGCAGACACTGTATATTGTACCTCCAGGACTTGAGTCTGGCTAACTTGATTCCCAGAATCCCTTCACAAAAGATACCGCGCTCATCTTGTGTTTTTCAACAAATTTATTGTTAAATTTACCCGAGTAGACATGATTGTTGCTAGGTATCTTTATAAACTGATTACTCTGTTTTTTCTCCAGATTAAATAAGCAAAAGCTGGAAAAGCTGCGTCAAGACTATGGGGAAAACTCAGAGACATACAAAGGCTTCCATCACATGTTTTGGGCGTTCTCCAAGGCTCAGCTCAGCCAAACCCTCACCAAAATACCAACGCCGGAAGTGGAACAACAAGCACTCCAAATTTCTCTTGTTATTCTTACTTATGCTGGTTTAAATCCAAATGGTAATTTTTCTTACACTGTTTTTATAAGGTTTAAGATGTTTGTTAATACAGTAGATCAGGTGTCTCCACCTGTGGCCTGCAGGCCACATGTGCCTCTTCTTGGAAATGGATACAGCCCTCACATTTTTAGGGCCCTGAAGCTTGAACTGTTACTGGGGCCCCTTCACAACACCTTCTCATACAGTAGACCCAAAATTTTTAACCAATGTGGACTAAAGTTACTTCTGGGGCCCCTCCAGGATTAGGGGCCATGAAGCTTAAGTTTTATGGTAGATCTGCCCCTGATTATGAATTCACTTTTATGTAGGTTCCACACTGCAGGAAGGTTGAGGACCACTGCAGTAGATAATTTTCTTAGAAAATACATGTACAAGAAAGATTCATTACAGTTGTGACCAGATATAAACATGTAAATAGTTCATTAGAACATAAGAACATAACTTGTAACTTGTTCAGCTGTCAAAACCTTATGCCCAGTTCCTGAACTCATTATGTACCTCTGTAATCTCACCCACAGGATGGGTATAGGGTGCATAATAAAGATAGTAAACTAAAAGAAAGATACAAAAGTAGCAATAGCATGGTTTACCCTGTTCTTTGGACAGGCAATACCTCTGGTGTCTCAGCCATGAAAGGAAAAGTTGCGGGTTTCTTGTCCTTGTTGCACCAGATCCCTTGATGAGATGTGGAAAAAGACAGATGTACATAATTCACAAAATTATAATGACACAATTGCAAACATGCCATACCACGGGCGGGGATTGAACTCATGGCAGGTGAGTCGTAAAACTCCAAGCCAGTGCATAAGTCACTGGGCCAGCTGGCTTATGTGCTGGCCTGGAGTTTTACGACTCGCTTGCAATGAGTTCAATTCCTGCCCGTGGTATGTTTTTTTTTTTTTTTTCAATGATGTACAGTTCAGGATATTTATTAGAGGAAACTTTTTGCCACAAGTGACTTAGGACTGAAGAAGCCACTAGTGGAGAAATGTTGCCTATAATAAATGTCCTGAACTGTACATTAGTATCTTCTTCCACATCTTGTTGGTATCACTATACCATTTTTCCCTTGACGAAATACTGTGCATTGTAACATTGTGAAATCAGAATCGCATTTAAATGCACCTCAACCAGAACTTCATCTTCAGTGTATTTAATCATAACTTTATAAATGTGTGCAAGTTTATCTGTTGTTGTAACCTGAATCAAAATTGTTCATAGCGGAAGCAGCAGTGACGAGTGATGACCAACAACTGACTATGGTGCAGGGTGTGGTAGAGCAGTGCATGAAGAGAGATCTCCTCCTCAATGAAACCTACCTCCAACTCATAAAACAGACTACAGATCATCCAGGTATTTGAACATACACTGCGGGAAACATTTCACCTGCATACTGAAAGCTCTGTCATAGAATATGGTTGATTAGAAATGGGCACTGACATTGATGAGTTTTGGATAAAGAATTGCAGTAAAAAAATTCATTATGTAGCACGGTATTGGTATTTGTATTTTCAGTGAGTAATTTTTTTTGTCTGTTATTATATACAGTATAGTATGTAATTATATATTTCCATTGTGAGTAGTGACTTATTCTTGGCCATTAACCATCTTGGAACATTTTTTCTCAAGATCCTAACTCCCGAGTTAACCTTCGACACTGGTCGCTGCTGACACTCTTCTGCTCTGTAATACCTCCTACTGATAAAACTATACGGAAATACTTGCGGGCGCACTTGCAGCGTTGTGCAACGGATTACGTATCTGAAGAAGGCAAATACGCTCGTTATGCTGAGAAGGTATATTGTAATTTTTTAAGCTTATACTGTAGTTTAAAGCCATTATACTATTTTCATAATACAGTTATGAAATACACTGTATAAGGAAACTATCAGTGAGTAAAATAGATTATTTTATGCACTTCTTGTCTCTTCCTCCCACCCAGTGTTTAATAAAAGCACTCAACAATCGACGCAGGCAGTGGGCACCTTCCAAGCAAGAGATTCTTTGTACCATAAATCGCAGACCAATTTATGCTAGGTTCCACTTCATGGATGGCCAGTTTCATTCCCTTGAATTTGATGCTTCAGCCACCGCTGCAGAAGTTGTTCAACTCATAATGCACAAAATTGGCTTAAAAAATACAGCTAAAGGTAATACAGTATATAGAGTACCCATATTTTATGTTCTCTTTTTTTCACCAAAGACAAAAAAACACTCTTCTACAGTGGCTGCCTTTGACTTAGGCAAAGCTAGATATGGTATAAAAGTAGTTAATTAACATTTATACTTACACTGTTAGTTTTCATTATCCATACTTATTGTAAAATACAGATTTCTAAATTAATTATTACCTATACAGGCTATTCAATCTATGAGATGTTGGGAACAACTGAACGATGTATAATATCAGAAGAGGTGTTGGCTGACGTCATGTCTAGATGGGAGCGATATCGCCAGTCCACCGCAGCCACGCAGCATCACACCCATCATATCTTCCTCTTTAAGGTATGTACGAAAAGAGGTAATCATTAAGTTGTGAAAGCACACTGAAGGAAGTAGTTGTAGACTTGAATTTGTATTTTAGGAGAGGGGGGGCTGTGCAATTCACTGATTGTTGGAATGAATAATGGCACTAAATTTATGAAAATTACTTTTAATATTTGCAAGTATTTTGGTATATATTTAGATTCTAATGCATTAGCATTAGAATCTAAATATATACCAAAATACTTACAATACCAATACATTTATACCAAAATACTTGACATGATTTGTCAAGATGAAACTAATGATATATTTAAATGGGCAATAAACAAAAGGCATACTACAAACATTACTGTATATGTATGTACAGATGCAGTCTGACCTCTTGTAATTTTCATGCATTCCAGTTAATGTACAGATTTCAGAAGATAAGAAAAACTTGTAAGATTTGTATCACTCAATATTTTTTTAATGATGACTTGGAACTCTTCCTGCAGAAACATCTTTTGTTGGAGTCGTGGCTTGATCTTAGTGATAATGTAGAGAAGGAGTTGCTCTATTTCCAAGTTCTCTACACTCTGCGTGCTGATAAATTCCCAGTCACACAGATGGAGGCTGTAAGTAGAAGTATTATGTATGTGTACATAGTAAAATTAGCACTGAAATAATAATTCTTAATATTCAGTCATGATGTATAAAGGGAAGACATTTTACAGGTACAGTCATGCATTGCTTAATTACTGGGATACGTTCTGAGAAATGTGTTAGGCAATTTCTTCGTCGTGCTAACGTCATGGAGTGTACTTACACAAACCTAGATGGTATAGCCTACCACACACCTTAGCTATATTTTTTTTTATTGTAGATTTGCTTGTAAGCAGATAATGCACCATGAACATTTCTTACTATTAATGAAAACCTTCTGATAAACATACGATGTATGAGGCTGCTGCCGGCGTAGTATGGCACACTGTTTTATAGTAAATTTTTTTATAAGTAGGAAGAGTACATTCTACATTAGTGATAAAAAGTACAATATAGTAAATACATAAACCAGTAACATAGTTGTTTATTATCATTATCAGTATTATGTACTGTACATAATTGTATATGCTATACTCTCATATGACTGGTAGTGCAGTAGGTTTGTTTACACCACTGTCGTATATGTGATTTGTCATTGACCTTAAGGTTGTGCGGCACATGACTGTAATAATAAATTCATCTAACTTATTATAATTTCTCTTAACCATTTTTAGGTGATGTTATGTTCCCTAAGAGCCCAGATAGAGCTGGGTAACTTCACTGGAGCAAACATGGACTATGGAGAGGTGATAGCACACACACTCTCACCACGGCTTTTATCAAATGTGACTCATGAGGCAGTGGCCATGCACCACCAGAGTTTGTTTAATATGGACTCACAAGAGGCAAAACAAGCCTTCCTCAATCTCATCAAATCTTGGCCATTGCACAGGGCCACAATATTTGATGTCACGGTAAGTTATAATCTTTTATTTTTGCGTGAAAATGGTTCTTTCTTTCTTTCTTTCAACACACCAGCCGTATCCCACCGAGGAGGGGTGGCCCAAAATGAAAAACAAAAGTTTCTCCTTTTACATTTAGTAATACACCTACCATCCGACTTATGACCTGCTCGACTTAAGACCACTCGACTTACGACCGTGTTTTTTATGCCAAATTTCTGGGAAATAAACAACTATTTGTGTTGTACACAGTGTTTATCCTAAACCTTACAGTATAAAATACAGTACTAACAACATAAAAAGTAAAGTAAAACATGAAATACCAAAATAAAACAATAAAATAAAGTCATTACAAAAATGTTTTGTTGATATTCAGTAGTAAAGTTCGACTTACGACCATTTCGACTTACGACTGGTCTCTCGGAACCGAACTCGGTCGTAAGTCGGATGGTAGGTGTATATAAAGGAGAAGGGGTTACTAGCCCCTTGCTCCCGGCATTTTAGTCGCCTCTTACGACATGCATGGCTTATGGAGGAAGAATTCTGTTTCAACTCCCCATGGAGGTGAAAATGGTTATAGCTATCAAACTAAGTGAGAGATGTGTTAAGGCAGTGCAAATCATTTCACATGCATTTTTTTTTCTTTCAACAAATGGGCTGTCTCCTACCTAGGGAGGGTGACCCAAAAAGAAAGAAAAAATCCCCAAAACGAAAATACTTTCATCATCATTCAACACTTTAACCTCACTCATATGTAATCACTGTTTTTGCAGAGGTGCCCAGATACAACAGCTTAGAAGCATATATAAAGATATAAAAAGTGACCAGAAATAATATAATAAACTCCATATAGAATATAATATCAGGGCCCCAATTATATATATACCGTCTTATTACACATCCCTCCAAACATGCATGTACATATATATATACTGGAGCTCTGTCCCTGCAAACACATGCCCTTCAATGGCCAAAGTAGAGGAAATCATGTTGTCTGAGTGTTATCAGACAAATATACTACTTAGTTAGTTTTGACATTGATAATTTATTGGAATTTTTAACTGAAGTTTGTTAATTTAACTTAGTTTGATAGTACAGTTGACTCTTTTTTAACAACTTAGAAAGGAACCAGGTAAACATTTTGTTAAGTGAACTGTGTCTTCCCAGAGAGGCTTGTGTCATAACCTGTGATGCAGACTGGGATAGGAATATTCTCTATCTAGTTCCTATCAATTTTGGAGGAGTATAAAATTCATAACTATGTACTACTGAGCTCATTAGAGATTGGCTTCCATCTCTCCCATTCCCTTCCTCATTCTTTCCCATACCTTTTTTTTTATTCTTCCATTCCCACTTCCTCTCAAATGCCTGATCCAGTTTCTATTCCAACTAAGGGACGTCAACATATGCTTTAAATGTCCAGTACATTGAAAGTCTTGCACTCTTACACTTAGGTCACACTACACATACATGTACACGTTTATTTATACACACTCATCTGAGTTTTCTTTGATTTTATCTTAATAGTTCTTGGTCTTATTACTTTTCCTTTTATATCCATGGGGAAGTGGAATAAGAATCTTTCCTCCGTAAGCCATGCGTGTTGTAAAAGTCAACTAAAATGCCGGGAACAATGGGCTAGTAACCCCTTTTCCTGTAAAGATTACTAAAAAGAATAAGAAGAAGAAAATTGTCAAAGTGGGAAGTCTGAATGTGCGTGGATGTTGTGCAAATGATAAGAAAGAGATGATTGTGGATGTTATGAATGAGAAGAAACTGGATGTCCTGGCTTTAAGTGAAACAAAGCTGAAGGGGGTGGGAGAGTTTCAATGGAGAGGAATAAATGGGATTAGGTCAGGGGTTTCAAATAGAATTAGAGCTAAAGAAGGAGTAGCAGTAATGTTGAAGGATAAGCTATGGCAGGAAAAGAGGGACCATAAATGTATTAATTCAAGGATTATGTGGAGTAAAATAAAGATTGGATATGATAAGTGGGTTATAATAAGCATGTATGCACCTGGAGAAGAGAGAAGTGTAGAGGAGAGAGATTTTGGGAAATGTTGAGTGAATGCGTGGGGAGTTTTGAATCAAGTGTGAGAGTAATGGTGGTTGGGGATTTCAATGCTAAAGTGGGTAAAAATGTTATGGAGGGAGTAGTAGGTAAATTTGGGGTGCCAGGGGTAAATGTAAATGGGGAGCCTTTAATTGAGCTATGTGTAGAAAGAGATTTGGTAATAAGTAATACATATTTTATGAAAAAGAGGATAAATAAATATACAAGGTATGATGTAGCACGTAATGAAAGTAGTTTATTAGATTATGTATTGGTGGATAAAAGGTTGATGGGTAGGCTCCAGGATGTACATGTTTATAGAGGGGCAACTGATATATCGGATCAATATTTAGTTGTAGCTACAGTTAGAGTAAGAGGTAGATGGGAAAAGAGGAAGGTGGCAACAACAAGTAAGAGGGAGGTGAAAGTATATAAACTAAGGGAGGAGGAAGTTCGGGTGAGATATAAGTGACTATTGGCAGAAAGGTAGGCTAGTGCAAAGATGAGTAGTGGGGGGGTTGAAGAGGGTTGGAATAGTTTTAAAAATGCAGTATTAGAATGTGGGGCAGAAGTTTGTGGTTATAGGAGGGTGGGGGCAGGAGGAAAGAGGAGTGATTGGTGGAACGATTAAGTAAAGGGTGTGATAAAAGAGAAAAAGGTAGCTTATGAGAGGTTTTTACAAAGCAGAAGTGTTATAAGAAGAGCAGAGTATATGGAGAGTAAAAGAAAGGTAAAGAGAGTGCAAAAGGAGAGCAGATGATAGAGCGGGAGAGGCACTGTCAAGAAATTTTAATGAAAATAAGAAAAAATTTTGGAGTGAGTTAAACAAATTAAGAAAGCCTAGGGAAAGTATGGATTTGTCAGTTAAAAACAGAGTAGGGGAGTTAGTAGATGGGGAGATGGAGGTATTAGGTAGATGGCGAGAATATTTTGAGTAACTTTTAAATGTTAAGGAAGAAAGAGAGGCAGTAATTTCATGCACTGGTCAGGGAGGTATACCATCTTTTAGGAGTGAAGAAGAGCAGAATGTAAGTGTGGGGGAGGTACGTGAGGCATTACGTAGAATGAAAGGGGGTAAAGCAGCAGTGTTGGAGTGGTTGGTACTTTTGTTTAATAAATGTATGAAAGAGGGGAAGGTACCTAGGGATTGGTGGAGAGCATGTATAGTCCCTTTATATAAAGGGAAAGGGGACAAAAGAGACTGTAAAAATTATAGAGGAATAAGTTTACTGAGTATACCAGGAAAAGTGTACGGTAGGGTTATAATTGAAAGTATTAGAGGCAAGACAGAATGTAGGATTGCGGATGAGCAAGGAGGTTTCAGAGTGGGTAGGGGATGTGTAGATCAAGTGTTTACATTGAAACATATATGTGAACAGTATTTAGATAAAGGTAGGGAAGTTTTTATTGCATTTATGGATTTAGAAAAGGCATATGATAGAGTGGACAGACGAGCAATGTGGCAGATGTTGCAAGTATATGGAATAGGTGGTAAGTTATTAAATGCTGTAAAGAGTTTTTATGAGGATAGTGAGGCTCAAGTTAGGGTGTGTAGTAGAGAGGAAGACTACTTCCCAGTAAAAGTAGGTCTTAGACAGGGATGTGTAATGTCACCATGGTTGTTTAATATATTTATAGATGGGGTTGTAAAGGAAGTAAATGCTAGGGTGTTCGGGAGAGGGGTGGGATTAAATTTTGGGGAATCAAATTCAAAATGGGAATTGACACAGTTACTTTTTGCTGATGATACTGTGCTTATGGGAGATTCTAAAGAAAAATTGCAAAGGTTAGTGGATGAGTTTGGGAATGTGTGTAAAGGTAGAAAGTTGAAAGTGAACATAGAAAAGAGTAAGGTGATGAGGGTATCAAATGATTTAGATAAAGAAAAATTGGATATCAAATTGGGGAGGAGGAGTATGGAAGAAGTGAATGTTTTCAGATATTTGGGAGTTGACGTGTCGGCGGATGGATTTATGAAGGATGAGGTTAATCATAGAATTGATGAGGGAAAAAAGGTGAGTGGTGCGTTGAGGTATATGTGGAGTCAAAAAACGTTATCTATGGAGGCAAAGAAGGGAATGTATGAAAGTATAATAGTACCAACGCTCTTATATGGGTCTGAAGCTTGGGTGGTAATGCAGCAGCGAGGAGACGGTTGGAGGCAGTGGAGATGTCCTGTTTAAGGGCAATGTGTGGTGTAAATATTATGCAGAAAATTCAGTGTGGAAATTAGGAAAAGGTGTGGAGTTAATAAAAGTATTAGTCAGAGGGCAGAAGAGGGGTTGTTAAGGTGGTTTGGTCATTTAGAGAGAATGGATCAAAGTAGAATGACATGGAAAGCATATAAATCTATAGGGGAAGGAAGGCGGGATAGGGGTCGTCCTCGAAAGGGTTGGAGAGAGAGGGTAAAGGAGGTTTTGTGGGCAAGGGGCTTGGACTTCCAGCAAGCGTGCGTGAGCGTGTTAGATAGGAGTGAATGGAGACGAATGGTACTTGGGACCTGACGATCTGTTGGAGTGTGAGCAGGGTAATATTTAGTGAAGGGATTCAGGGAAACCGGTTATTTTCATATAGTCGGACTTGAGTCCTGGAAATGGGAAGTACAATGCCTGCACTTTAACCCTTTGAGGGTCGACAGGCCCTCTCCGAAACTCGTTCTCAGGGTCGGCCAAATTTAAAAAAAAAAAAAAAATATTTTCTCTTATGAAAAGATAGAGAATCTTTTCCCGATCATAACGACACCAAAAGTTTGAAATTTGATAGAAAACTTACGGAATTATGCTCTCGCAAAGTTAGCGGTCTCGGCGATGTTTACGGATCGGCGATTTTGCCCACTTTGAGCCCCATTTTCGGCCAATTTCACTGTACTAGTCGACAAAAAACATGAATATTTCGCTAGAACTTCCATTTTTTTTCTATCGAATGGGTGCAAGAAACCACCCATTTATAAATTCAACTATCCAGTACAGTGGTCAGAATTTAGCAATTTTGCCAATTTCACACAAATTTCAAAAGATGCCAATTTCGGAATAGGGTCCAGAATAAACAAGAAAGACATTCCTGGCACTAAAATGACATTTCCTCTAGTCATTAGTCACGTCTCAAGGCCCCTCTTATATTCTTTTGCTTTCCACTTTGAATTTTTATTCTCACAAAAAATATAAGATTTACTGTTATGCAGACTACTGCATTAGTGTAAAAAATGGTATAAATATTATTGGTGCACTTGTGAAAGAATATTAGACTCACCAGTTGACGTATATTGCACGCTTGGCACGATTTGTTTACTTTTGAAGTTTGGTAAAAATCGAACATTTCTGCTACTTTGAGCTCAATTTCAAGGCACCTTTCATTGTAAAACCAGTCAAAATCATCTCAATTTCAGTAATATGTCTTCCATTCTATAAAATGAGACCAAGAAAACTAGAATACAACAATAAATACTATACGAAAATACACTGTAAAGTCGCTGATTTATTAAAAAAAAATGGAAAAAGTTTTTTTTTTCTCATTATGCACCGTGTGCTGCAGGATTTTTTTTAGACTGTGCACACTGACCACATAGACCCATTCTTTCATATGAAGGCCTACCAGCTTTCTCCCACTAGATTTGAGGTCGCTAGAATTTATGAGTACTAGTACGTCAAAAACCCCTACGCGTAAGACGTACTAGTACGACGAAAACCCTCAAAGGGTTAAAGGAGGGGTTTGGGATATTGGCAGTTTGGAGGGATATGTTGTGTATCTTTATATGTGTATGCTTCTAAACTGTTGTATTCTGAGCACCTCTGCAAAAACAGTGATAATGTGTGAGTGTGGTGAAAGTGTTGAATGATGATGAAAGTATTTTCTTTTTGGGGATTTTCTTTCTTTTTTGGGTCACCCTGCCTCGGTGGGAGACGGCCGACTTGTTGAAAAAAAAAAATACACACACACACACACACACAAAACAGTTCATCATAACATCCATACATACAGAATAGCCAGCATGAATTTACATTTATTTGATCTCAAGATTCAGAAAGTTTTCTCTGTTTCAGCTAGAAATATAAATATTTCACAAGCACATTGTTTTAAAAATCTTATTCTGGTGACCAAAAAAATTTTAGAATCTAATATTTAGAAGGGATTTTGGCATTCTCTTTTAAGAGTCACGTGAAAATGCAAAGTGTAGTTTAGGTTTGTGTACCTTGACAAGGGAGCAGTGGTTATCAGAAAAAACTAAAGTACAAAGGGAAGGGCATACTAAAGAGATCTAATGTTTTGTTTTTTAAAGCCCTGGCCATCTCCCACCGAGGAAGGGTGACCTAAAAAGAAAACGAAAATTTTTCCTTTTACATTTAGTAATTTACACAGGAGAAGGGGTTACTAGCCCCTTGCTTCCTTCATGAATATTATTTTTTTTTTATTATCACACTGGCCGATTCCCACCAAGGCAGGGTGGCCCGAAAAAGAAAAACTTTCACCATCATTCACTCCATCACTGTTTTTAAACTGCAACATTAACACCCCTCCTTCAGAGTGGAGGCACTGTACTTCCCATCTCCAGGACTCAAGTCCAGCCTGCCGGTTTCCCTGAACCCCTTCATAAATGTTACTTTGCTCACACTCCAACAGCACGTCAAGTATTAAAAACCATTTGTCTCCATTCACTCCTATCAAACACGCTCACGCATGCCTGCTGGAAGTCCAAGCCCCTCGCACACAAAACCTCCTTTACCCTCTCCCTCCAACCTTTCCTAGGCCGACCCCTACCCCGCCTTCCTTCCACTACAGATGGGGTAGGGGTTGGCCTAGGAAGGTTGGAGGGAAGGGGGTAAAGGAGGTTTTGTGTGTGAGGGGCTTGGACTTCCAGCAGGCATGCGTGAGCATGTTTGATAGGAGTGTTACTAAATTATGGATTTTCTTTAAATAAATAATTTGCTGTGAGGCAAGTGAGTTGTGATGTAACACTTGTAAAATTACCTAATATTTTTCTCCTAATTTGAGTTGAATACATGTTGAAGAGGTAATAACTGTGCCTTACATATTTCTTTTAGACTCTTATATTTATAGAGGTTTGATTATATATATTTTCTCTCCCTCAGCAATCATTTACCTCCAACTGGCCAAAGGTTCTCTGGCTAGCTATTGATGAGAGCGGCGTCCACTTGCTGGAACACCGTTCAAGAAATGTCCTCTGTACGTATGAGTACGACTATATTCTGAATTACTCGGCTTCCATCACAGCTCTCATGATTATTACTGGATCAACACGAAAACAGAGCAAAATTATTCTCAACACTACACAGGTAAAGAAAAAAAGTTTGTCTTGAGGTATGGAAACATTGAAGGATCATTATGCCTTGAAGTAGTATATTGATTTATAAAATGTACATTGTTATTATTGCATACATTTGGTTCTATTTTTTCATTATCTAACATGATACACTATATTATCATATTTTTTTTTCTTAATATCAGTCAACAAGACCATTTTCAATGTTTAAACTTGTTTTTTGTATCTTATTTTGGATATCTTTGACATGTCTTTTGAGTTTTCTATTTTGTCCACATGGTTTTTAGGTGTACACATCACACTACTGTGGCATATTTCAATTTTGGTCAAATGTGAAGATAAAAACGAGTCATAATACCATGACTGGAACAATAAACAAATAACTTACACAGGAGAATGAACTTCCTGTAATAATATTAAAAATAATAATAATTGTGTATTGTTTTGACCAAAAATAAAAAGGGAGAGTTTTTCCTATTCACTGATTTCTGCTTTAAGTCCTAAACTGCAAGATTTTTTTTATGTGCTTTAATTAGTGCTGCTATTTTTTCAGGCTTTTATGATCGCTACTTTAATCAAAGACTACACAGAAGTTTTGAGGGAGAATCTTGGCGTGAGCAGCGATGGTCCTCCTCCTGCTGGACTAATGGCACCACCTGCAGCACAAGAAGCGGTACCTCAGGAACCCCGACGTTCCCGCCCTCACAGTATTATGGCTCGACCACCACCCACGTTAACGGAAGAACTGGTCACTCAGTGATCCCCTCATACTTGTTGTTTCTGTCATCCACACTCCACTTAATTCTTTGAATATCTTTACAATATTGTTAATTGAGCCTTTACTTAAAATTATGACTTTCTGCAAAATACTGACAAATTCTGTACTGCTGTATTTATCCTTGAAATAATTGTATGAGTAAGGCTGACTAATAATCATATGATTACTTTAAAAAAATATTACTTTCAGACAGAGAGGTTAAGTGCCAGAATAATCATACAGTATTTAACAAAAAAGATATGTTGTGATAATATACAGTGTCAATTCATAATTTTTGTCAGTTTGTGTTTCAAAGATGGATACTGTAATAGTGCAGTCAGTAGTAGCAGTTTGAATATTATTTAATCCAGTTTACAGTACCTGAGAATACTTGATAAATGACAAGTTAATATGTACTGTAACTTTAACTTTGTGAGTTACTAAAGAATTTTCAATCAAATTTGTTTAAATCTTTTTCAAAAACTTGCTTACCCCAGAGTATTATATATACAGTGGACCCCCGGTTAACGATATTTTTTCACTCCAGAAGTATGTTCAGGTGCCAGTACTGACCGAATTTGTTCCCATAAGAAATATTGTGAAGTAGATTAGTCCATTTCAGACCCCCAAACATACACGTACAAACGCACTTACATAAATACACTTACATAATTGGTCGCATTCGGAGGTAATCGTTATGCGGGGGTCCACTGTACTGCGTACTTACTTGTCTGTTCTTACCTATATGTGGTAGCAGGGGTCAAGTCTCAGCTCCTGGCCCTGGCTTTCAATTTTCTGCTTGCCAAAATCACTCACTTCTAGCCTTATGTGCCATGTCACACCTGCTCTTCAAACTGTGGAGTCTGCCCCCACTACTTCCTCATTCAAATCATTCCACTTCTTGACCACCTTTAAACTAGCGAAGTACTTCCTGACATTCCTGTGGCTCAACTGTGTCTTTATCTTCTGGCTGTGACTCTAAGTACCTGTTTCCCACCACAATGGCCTATCTGTCTACTTTATCAATTCCTTTGAGTATTTTGTATGCTATCATGTTTTCCCTGGTTCTGTTTTCCAGTGTTAATAGATTCAGTTCTGATAATCTCTTCTCATAGCTCATACACTTCAGTTCTGGAACTAGTCATGTTACACACCTCTGCACACTCTCCAGTTTGTTTAAATGTTTTCTCAGGTGTGGATTCCATGCTGGTGCTGTATACTCCAAGATTAGCTTGACATAAGTTGTACAGTAGGGGCCCCTCTTTACTGCATTTCACTTTACAGTATTCCACTAATAAAGACATTTCAAATTATGACCAAAACTTGCTGTATGGCTCCCCCACCTGATTTTCTAATATGGTCATCGCGTCCCACCCGGTTTGTTTACATTCTCCATGAGCACTGCATCTCTCCATTATGTTTTAAATCTACTCTGATAATTATACTTATGTGTACCTGTACTTAAACTTATACACTGTGCTGGCATGCAGGTACACATTAAAATCACTAAGTGTGTCTTATTAGTCTTGAGGACACCATATTAATAATAATAATAATAATAATAGTGATAATATGCAATAATAATCACTCTGAGGCACATTAAATGTCATATACAGTATTATATATTATTATATATTACGTTAATATACACATTTTCAATAATCCATCTTTGATATTTTTTGAAAATTATATAATAAACATGCTACATAACATATAAACATAATAAATACACCCCACAGTAGAATAAATTAACATAAATATGAGATGTTTTTCTAGTCATCGGAATGTCAGAAAGAATAACGTTTTCTCTAGTTCAACACCAAAGAAAATGTGTACGCAGTATTACTGGTGGGGTAACTGGGAATGAAGAGAGAGAGAGAAAGCTTGTGTTTTGTTGGAAGCTAAATAATATTGTATTTATTATTATTATTATTAAAGAGAGAGAGAAAGCTTGCATTGTGTTGGAAGCTAAACAATACAGTATTGTATTTATTATTATTTTTATTAACACATTGGCGAATTCCCACCAAGGCAGGGTGGCCCGAAAAAGAAATACTTTCATCGTTCAATCCATCACTGTCTTGGCAGTTTATAAAACTGCAGCATTAACACCCCTCCTTCAGAGTGCAGGCACTGTACTTTCCATCTCCAGGACTCAAGTCCAGCCTGCCAGACTTGAGTCCTGGAGATGGAAAGTACATTATTATTATTATTATTATCATTATTGTTAATATTACCATCATAATACAATTGTGTTTGTTTACATCGTCTGTGCCTCTGTCCTCTCTCTCATTTACTCATTCTCTCTCTTGTTTATTTGTTTAATCTTGTTTACTCACCTCTTACCCTACATTAAGACTAGAAATATTGTAAGGTAAGTAATGAGTGAATTGTATGTGTATTTTATCACTCTGGGACGCTTTAAATGTTAAGTGGATGGGGCTGGCTACCATACCAACGACACCTGATTTCTTACTATAAATACTACTCATCACACCCTACATTAAGACTACAAATAAGTGGAAAAAAGGGCCCTCCACTTTATGACGATTTCCACTTTACGGCAATAGCCTGGAACCTAACCTGCCATATAAGTGGGGCTCTGCTGTATAAAGGGCCCAAAATGACTGAGATTTCTGAAAGCTACTTTTAGATGTGCCAGATAACCATTAGCTACAAAGATTCAGTTGATGTGAAAGTGGTTAGGAAGTGGAATGATCTTCATGAAGTTGTGGAGGCATGCTCCATACGTAGGTTTAAGAGCAGGTATGAAATGGCCCACAAGGCTAGGAGGGAGTGAATCTGGCAGACATGTTGAAGGGCAGGAGCTAGGACTTGACCCCCAACAACCACATGTAGGTAAGTATATAAATGTACAGATACAGTACCTCACAAAAATATCCCCTTTGTATAATCTATGAATTTAAACTGAGTTCATAAAAAAATATATCAGCTCTTAAAAATCTCAGTGGAAGGCTGAGACAGTGTACATGACAGATCTCTATATATAATATGTGATGTTGCTGGGCCAGACAATGGCAGACTCTCCACTTCCATGCACTGACTTGCTCAAGAGCTTAGCGTGCCGACTGGTTCCTAGTGATCTCTCGCATGCAGCAACAACCAAAGCCATGTGTTAGTGTTTTGTGCCAAGTATTGGCTCTGTTTTTTCTTTCAGCAAAGTGCTTTTAAGTGTGAATGTCTCTGAATGATGATATTTTTTGGTGGTTAATTCTCATCTCCTGGAATAATTATACAGTTCATACAAAAACTTGTTCACAATGTTTCCTTCTCGTACAAATATTATTAATATTACATACATGTGTGTGTATATATATATATATATATATACACTAAAAATATTAATTACCTTGAAAAGAATAAACCTCTTAAATTGCATTGGAATTTAGGATGTTGTGTACTAAAACAAATTAGATGCTATTCATTCCTAGTACATTATTTTCCAAACTTTTGTAAAGTTATGCCCAAAAAAGTCGTTAATTAACCATTTAAGTAGTTAATTGAGCATATATTTCTGGTGCTACATGTTTGTTGATTGTTTTCTACATACAATGTAGGATACTTGGTTTTTGTGTAATATCTTGTTGATGAGTCTGATAGTGACTGCAGACCTGTGTTGTGAGTACTGGCCATCAGTAGTGCCTTCTATTTAAATACTATTTATCACTGCTGATGATTGTATCACTGTTAAATGAGCCAATATGTGATACTCTTGGTAATTAAAATCTTTATTAAGTGAAGTCTGCATTATCTAAATATTTGGTGCACATTTTTTTGTAAGAGTTGAAACGGTTGTAATTATTCCCATATTAAATATATGGTGCAAGTAAATCCTCAGAGCTCCTTTTTAAAGTAGCATAATGAACTATGCTGCAGTTGTCTGTCAAGACAGGGAGTATGTGATTAATATATTCATGTTTGTCTGTGTTACTCAAGACAGGAAATAATCATGTACCTCCCTAGTTCAGCTCATGCTAGTCGTTACTATTTCACTTTGAACTATTTTTAGTTATTAATTTAAATGCTCTGGTTTGGTTTTATGTATAATGATTCCAGACTTTTTTTTTCTTACTCAGTGAATGTAGTGTGCAAGCATAACAAGTTATATGATAACTATTAATTGTTGAACAATATGATGCTAATGATCAAAGTTTTTACATGTATTTTTGTTTTTAGGAAAACTGTGTATATAGTGTAAGAAGAAAATATAATCGTTAAATATGGTCTCCAGATAAGAGTAAAATAACATCTTTAAAGTGAAGAAAAAAATTTGATTAATTAATATTTCCTGAAGCCTTTCCTCGATTTACTTTTAAATGCAGTTTTTTATTTCAAGGCATTTCCTTTTTTTGTGATACCATCCTTCAGACAAAATAAATATTAACATTGTATCAGAGGTCCTAAAAAATTATCTACAAATATTTTTGGTCTCAGCTCAGGTGAGTTAACATGACAGCTGTAAATCAGATGGCTAAAATGAAAGAATAACTAATAGTTAATTATGATATTTTCATTAGTATTTGGTAAGGGTTTCTGTAATAAAGAGGGATGGCATTTGACATAATATCCCAAGAGACCAGAGTCTGACTGTATAAACTAGGTTGGTCTGCAGGCCAAGAAAAGCTAGTTTAACCACATGAACAGGTTAAACTGGTAAGCCAGGAAAGCCTAGTTTAACCACATGAACAGGTTAGACTGGCAGGCCAAGAAAGACTAGTCTAACCACATGAACAGGTTAGACTGGTAGATCAAGACCCAGATCTGACTGCATTAAGAAGTTGGTCATTTTAAGAGGTCTGCACAAAGATGATCGCTCTGGACACGATGGTGGAAGATGACAAATAGATGTCAGCTTAAACTCTTGCTTATCAAAATGTGATGTATTTCAATATGAAAAATAAGATTAATTATGATACATCATCTTTTGCTATCTATCCAAATATTCCAGAATGCCTTAATGTTTAGAGTTTGCTTCCTGTGCAGTATTTGTGTAATGTGATTATGGGATGAATATGAATGTATTATTGTAACCACAGTTATGTGAAACAGATTCTCCTCATGCCTTTTGTACTTATATTTTTACCAAAGAATCTCTCGATGGTAGCATGAACGTGTGTATATATTTATTATATGGTGACTCGTGATGAGAAACCGCTTCTTTGTTTAACTTTGGCATGACTTTGACTGAGATAATTTATGTCACATTTTTAACACAATGTAACGAACACAAAATGACTGTTAATAGTGTCCCTTTATGCAAAATAAGATAATCTTCCTTAAAATCACTCTGATATTACAATGGTGTGTATATGATGCTACAGTACAATTATTCAACATTTTGTCAATAGGAATTTTCTAAACGATTAAACTAGAAAGCTGTAGAATTTATTTTCTATTTTTTCAAGAGTAAGGCCGCCATAAGAAAAGCTCATTATAAACTAGCAGACATTGCAGATACAAGAATGTGCTAGGAGAGATTGAAAGTTGTAAAACATTGAACATGGACAGTGTTACTATTATATTCTTAAGTGTCTCTTCAGTAACTAGTTTTGAAATGATGAGTGTGTACAAGGTTGTTAACTGTTATTTATTACAAGTCAGTACCTAGAAGGTGGGTGTTCATCTCTTACTGATTGTGTTGCATCAAGGGTCTCTGGTACAATTATTATATACCCAGTCCTTCACAATTATTAAAAAAAAAAGTAAACTTGAGTGATTTTTAGTTGGTATTATAGTGTTTTTCAATTATTTATAGGCTATGTTTTTATTTTATTATATACATATATATATTTTTAAATATTTTTGGCTGCATATGAGATGTAAAATCTCATTTAAGAAGACGGAATGTGATGGTATTATCAAGAACACAACATTAATGATTGTGTGAAACTCTCAATGAGCTTTTGTAAATCTTGTCAGTGGTATGTAAGATGTTATTTCTACACAAATATATAACATTAATTGTATACTGTTAGTGATTTTCCTGATTAACAATACTGTGCTGTATATATTGTGTACACCAGGTTGTACACAACCTGTGTACACCAGGTTGTACACAACCTGTGTACACCAGGTGTACACAACCTGTGTACACACAGGTTGTGGCGTCATTTATTATATTAACACATGCTATTATTTATTATCAGCGCTGTATAACCCTTGTGGTTTAGCGCTTCTTTTTGATTATTATTATTATACTCGTTGGGTCATATAGTGTCTGGGAAATGGGAAGGGTAACCTTAGCCAGCACCCAGACACCCTTCTCAAATTAAATTAATGGACCTGAGAGGTGAATGAATTATTATTATAATCAAGGGGGAAGCGCTAAACCCGGAGGATTATACAGCGCCTGGGGGGGGATGTGGAAGGCATTCAGGCTTAATTCGGGGAACTGGAGCACAGATCCAATTCCCTAAATCAAGAGCCCCTCACCAACATCAAGGAACCTTCCTTGAGGGGAGAGGTGAATGAAAATACAGTGGTTACTCAAAACTCCTTTTTGTGGAAGTTTTTCATGCCACTAATTATACTGGTCAAAAACATAGGGATAGTCTTAGAACTGATTTTTCTTCTGAAAGAACCACACTGGAGATGAGTTTATTTCCCTGCAGTACTTCATTTTCAAAATACCATAAAGGATTGTGAAATTTCAGTTCATGTAGACAGGAGTATTAGGGAACAATGGATCACTTTACAGAGTACTGGTTTGATGTCCTGATTATTATTATAACTGGAGGAGTGCTAAACCCACAGGGGTCATACAGCAGATAGGAAATATGAGCAATTAGGTGAGAATATGTCCAGTTCCTTGATTCAAGTCCCTCACCAGCATCAAGGCACCTTACTTATTTCTGCTAAAGAAATAAAATATCAGTTTCAGTATTCTTTCCTGTTTGTGAGAAAATGCCAAAGGGGACCCACATTACTCTAGAGGAAAAGGCCCTGCCAGGACACAAGCCTATGAAAGACAGGCTAACTCTTTCGTTCTGTGCTGGCATCTGGAAGATGCCAGCAAGTCTCTTCAATAAAGGTAAGTAAATGTTAGTTTAAATGTTTATTTAAATATTAATTTATCTATTGTATACTAGTACAGTGGACCCTCAGCTAACAATGGCATCACCTTATGTTAAATCCAGTATACGATACATTTTAATGCAAAAATTTTGCCTCGGCTAATGCTAAAAAAACTCGCCCTACGCGAGCGCGCCTCAGTTGTCCCGTGGATGTCAGTGTTTACAAGCCAGCCAGTGCGGTCGCATCCACGCATACAATTGGAACATTTCATATTATCACAGTGTTTTTAGTGATTGTACCTGCAAAATAAGTCACCATGGGCCCCAAGAAAGCTTCTAGTGCCAACCCTGCAGGAAAAAGGATGAGAATTACTATGGATATGAAGAAAGAGATTAAGGAAATGTGTGCAAAGTGGCTTGAAGTGCAAACCTTAATGGATGAAAATCACCCTCACACAGCCATTGCAAGCCGTGCTGGTGACTATTACAATGACAATGTTGTGAACCACTTTAGACAAATCATAAAGGAATGAGAGGTACAGGCCTCTATGGACAGATATGTTGTGTGACAGAGGTCCAGTGACTCTCAAGCTTGTCCTAGTGGCATTAAAAGAAGGGAAGTAACCCCGGAAAAGGACTTGATACCTCAAGTCCTATTGGAAGGGGATTCCCCTTCTAAGCATTAACAACTTCCACACTCTCCCCCTCCTCCCATCCCATCAATCATCACCAGATCTTCAATAAAGGTAAGTGTCAGCTTGTGTATTAAAATTAATATTTCATGTGGTAAAAAAAATTTTTTTTCATACTTTGGGGTGTCTTGCACGGATTAATTTGATTTCCATTATTTCTTATGGGAAAAATTAATTCAGCTAACGATAATTTCAGCATACGATGAGCTTTCAGGAATAGATTAATATCGTTAGCTGAGGTTCCACTGTATATATATTTATCTGTGTTGTGTGTAAAATTATAGTTATTCTTTAAAAAATGTATTTTTTGTGAATATTTGTGGGTCTAGAACGGATTAATTTTATTTACATTATGGGAAATATTGTTTCGCCTTTCGGCCGTTTTAGTTCAGGCCTAGCTCCTGTAATGGATTACGGCTGAAACTCACGGTTCCACTGTACTAGGAAAATATATTTTAAGTATTCACATATACATGTACCAGTAATATCAATTCAACTATGCCAGTACGGTAAATCCTCACTTAACATCGTTTCAAAATAACATTGATAAGGAAAAAAATAAATTCATGGCCGGGGCCACTGTCTGTGGAGTTTACATGTTTGTTTTTGAACTGTAAGTGGTGCTTCTTACATTATTATTATAATAAAAAAGAAGCACTAAGCCACAAGGGCTATACAGCTAGTGCTTCTTACAATTTTCACTTTGTAAACATTTATTCCTTGATTTAACCCTGTTGCAATGAGTGTTAAAGGTGCACTGTGCTCCCCTCATATTTCAATCAGTTAGCTTATGGTAAAATTGGTTTCGTTATACATCGTTTCGCTTGAAGTCGCAGTTTCCAAGAACCTAGTGACAACGTTGAGAACTTGCTGTAAGTTTATTCTAATGGTTTGTTTTATCAGGTTGAAGAGAATGAAGCTATGATTGAGCACCTGCTAGAGAATAAGCCAGAACTGGTGCTAATTCCAACTAGGGTTTCTCTATATGTTCCTCCTGGCTTCACTCTCATGGATGCAGGTACAGTTGGCTCCCAAGTCAAGGTTTTGTGCCCAGGATATATATTTACCATTTTAATAGTTCATTATTACCATTACACAAGAAAAGTTCAGCCCACATAGCTTATTCAGTGCTGTCGAACAATGTAGGACAAATGGTACATGTGTACCCCTTTCCTGTCTTGAAGTAAATTTGCTACACATTTTATTATTTTTTTTTGTTTATTTTAACATCTTTTTCAGTGTTTCCACTACTGACATACCTGTACTTACAAAAGAGCTATATTTTTTATCTTTTTATTTACAGTGCTTGTACCTCATTCCATTGTTTTACCATTCTGCAAAGAGGATTATAGTTATGACATCAACCTTATTTGTTAGTTTTTCTTTTTATACAGTACTGTACTGTGTGACCCTTAAGGGTTTAGTGCTTCATTATGATTGTTATAGTTTCTTTTTATAATTTTGTGGTTATGTCTCATCAACTAGTGGGTGAATTTTTTTTTAACAGGTATTTGCCACACAAGAGTTCACTTCTAGGCTTAAATGCCAGGATGCCTTACCACTTCTCAAAATATCTAGAGAAGAATGAAAAATTGGATATCAAATTGGGGAAGAGGAATATGGAAGAAGTGAATGTTTTCAGATACTTGGGAGTTGACGTGTCGGCGGATGGATTTATGAAGGATGAAGTTAATCATAGAATTGATGAGGGAAAAAAAGGTGAGTGGTGCATTGAGGTATATGTGGAGTCAAAAAACGTTATCTATGGAGGCAAAGAAGGGAATGTATGAAAGTATAGTAGTACCAACACTCTTATATGGGTGTGAAGCTTGGGTTGTGAATGCAGCAGTGAGGAGGCGGTTGGAGGCAGTTGAGATGTCCTGTCTAAGGGCAATGTGTGGTGTAAATATTATGCAGAAAATTCGGAGTGTGGAAATTAGGAGAAGGTGTGGAGTTAATAAAAGTATTAGTCAGAGGGCTGAAGAGGGGTTGTTGAGGTGGTTTGATCATTTAGAGAGAATGGATCAAAGTAGAACGACATGGAGAGCATTTAAATCTGTAGCGGAAGGAAGGCGGGGTAGGGGTTGTCCTCGAAAAGGTTGGAGGGAGGGATTAAAGGAGGTTTTGTGGGCGAGGGGCTTGGACTTCCAGCAAGCGTGCGTGAGCGTGTTAGATAGGAGTGAATGGAGACGAATGGTATTTGGGACCTGACGATCTGTTGGAGTGTGAGCAGGGTAATATTTAGTGAAGGGATTCAGGGAAACTGGTTATTTTTATATAGCCGGACTTGAGTCCTGGAAATGGGAAGTACAATGCCCGCACTCTAAAGGAGGGGTTTCGGGATATTAGCAGTTTGGAGGGATATGTTGTGTATCTATACGTATATACTTCTAAACTGTTGTGTTCTGAGCACCTCTGCAAAAACAGTGATTATGTGCAAGTGAGGTGAAAGTGTTGAATGATGATGAAAGTATTTTCTTTTTGGGGATTTTCTTTCTTTTTGGGTCACCCTGCCTCGGTGGGAGACGGCTGACTTGTAAAAAAAAAAAAAAATTAAAAAGGAATCCTTGTGTAAATATCTCCCAATTGTGGTTCTATGGTGACTTTCTCACCAGCCAAAGGGGACTGAATCATCAGTGCTACTAGACATTACCTGCAGATTCAGAATACAGGGTATCCACAACTTTTAAAAATTTCAGAAGTTTATTATAAACTAAGACATGATTCAGTTCTCTGCATGCAATAGCATACTTATTGAACACAAAGTTTCATATTTGATGAACAGTGCATGAGTATCCTACCTTAAGACTGGTTAAAACGGTGGAAGGACAGTACAGCAGACTGACCTATCATTCCTTCAAGTTTTATCTGCTGAAAGTGCTACAGTGTAATTATCCTAACAAGTTTTTCCTTCTTAGGTTCAGCACGGATACATGCTTCACCAGACGAATATATACCCATCACATGGATGGAGTGTTCAAAGATACAGATAAATAATTTTTTAAGATGTTTAGGATCTGTTGCAAGTTTCTTTCTTGATTAAATTTTGTTTAATTATTAAAGAAGCATAAATTTTTTTAACTATACCATTTTGTAACAAAATGGGTTAATGACTGAGCTTGAATTAAAAAGTTGCAAGTCTTTTCCACCTACTAAGGATTAATGAATTTACGTATTAAACACTGTTTTAGTAAATGTTTGTTGTGTTAAATGCGGCAGCTGTTGGTTCTTCTGTGCTGCACTTAACAGGTTTAGAATGTTTTATATATGTATTCCTTGAGATCATACACTTTAATGGCTTTTAGTTAAGAAAAATGGCCTAATATTTTGACATTATGTTCCTGGGGAAACACTAAATCCATAGGGATTATTCAGTGCCAGGAAAACCAAATTCACTCCCAGGAAAAGGAGCGTAGCTCCAGTTAATTGGATCAAGAGCCCTGCATCTTACATCTAAACACCTCCATTGAAAGATGGACATTTCATTACCTTTGAGAATGGTGCCTTTCTGCTGGTGGAGGGCTCTTAATCCAAGGAATTGGATTTATCTTCCCGTTTAAACCTGATTACCTCCTAAGCTCTTTCGGCCTCTACAGGTTTAGAGCCTGCCTGTAAGTATTATTATTGAACTCTAAGTGATGAAATGCTACAGTTCTTACATAAACGTATTTCAATACCTAATAGGAAATTTTAAGTGTGCTTTTATATCTACAATTATTGGATTCACAAAATGCAGGCATTTTAATTATTTTTATCAAAGTTCCACCATGATTCACTAGTCTATCATTCAGTCCCAACCTCAAGAGATCACACAAATGAATGTCACCAATGGATATGCAAGACACTTTTAAAAGTTTTTTATTTATATTCGTTTTCCAGACTGCACACTAATTCAATGCAGTAAAATTAATTTAACAATTATAGTTTGTTAAGTGTACAAAGAAAAGAAGCAAATTTTCATTTAAACTATTGTGATTACTGGAATTTGTAAGTAAAAAAAGAGACCTTATTTTTCTCATTGCTTATGTTAGGAAATTACACAAGTAACAGCAAACACACATGACATGACCAATGCATCTTTGTATATGTTCTTAATCCAAATTACTAAAGATATTAAATGCCCAGCTTACTTGTAATATGTAAAGAATCAGAAAATACAATTCTAATAAGTCGAAGTTGTGAACTGTAATATGCCTCTGTATCCCTTATCTGTCTAGTTGGCACAGTCATTAGGGACAAAACAGTGCCATGCTTTGGAGATGATGGATGACAATATGTATATGTGAAAAATATATAGATATAAATAAAAAGCCCTGTAGCATCACGCAGACATGTCACCACATATCTTTCCTTGATACACATTTTTTAGTATATTTTCATATACAGAAAGCTGACAGGATTCGCCCAAACAGCTCAAAAGAACAAGTAATTTTCTAAAGTAAGAGTTATGAAGCAAAACCCTGAACGAGCATTTCATACTACTATGAAATGCCATTGCACGTGGCACTAAAACAATAAACTGTACTCCCATTACGGAAAAGACTAGATTTGTTTTGCCAGGCACAGTCATGCTATTTACACGGCCTGTTTCGATGGCTGGCCAACTACTAAATATTGACCATAAAGAAATTAACTTTTAAACCTCAGGTTTAATTATTAATCGCTTCGCTACATACATTTACGTACCATATTATGTACAATATCATAAATTAAGAATAATTAAAACCTTACAAGATTTCAATAGGAAGAATTCAGCATGTTAACAAATTGCCTAGTTGTCAAATTAGAGAACAAAATTATAGAAAGTTTAAAAATTGCCATTGAAGCTCCTTCCAAATATAAGACTTGCCCACAAAGTCAATACTGTACACAAAATAACATTCATAAGAAACACAATGTTGCACAGCATGCACATTAGTGAGAAAAGCAAGTACAATAAAATGTTACTTTTTATATTAGATTCATTATAAAGTAATATGAAATGCTTCTGATATGTATAAGCATGGCCAAACCTATCTGATATGTATAAAAATAACCACAAGACAGTAAAACACTTGTGTACACCCACTATTGGCCAACAATCTTCATGGATGAACAATGACAAGTCATTAATGTCTTGTAGCTTCAGGAATCCCTTAAAAATTAAGGTGATTCATCTACAAAGAGATATCATAATGAAATGAGCTTATCAAAAACTGCAAATGCCATTTCCTATTTAAATTTTAAAAATAAATCACTTTAAAATTTGGTTTTCTCATCTGTTTTTGGAGGTGTAAGCATCACGACTGAAACTCCTGATGACTCGGGACTATTCCGAGAAGAAGACCGTATCTGACTCAACCTGATCTGTGCTCGCTCCTGTAAGGAACAAGAATTATTAATTACAGTATTATAAAATAAGCTCTGTGTGAGAGGGGGATGTACGAGTAAGTCAGTGAAGTTGTGGGTTAGTGCAAATACAAAATTAAAAGTCATGTTGATGCAACACATTAGTTTATCAGTCATGGACATTAGGGGTAGACTTTCAGCAAGGAGGACACTTGGAATAACAGTATCATTGAATTGCCTTGAATTTGTCATAAGTGTGGTCAATTATATGATGAACTAATAGTACTATCTGGCAGTCCTTGCAGAGAGGAGCTAGGTGCAATTTTCATTTTGCATATATCACCAAACATTTCTATTTTATTATTTAACACTGAAGTAGGATCCCCCCCCCCCCCCAAAAAAAAAACACTTTCACTATCAGTGTCTTGCCAGAGGAGGCAGATACTCCAGTTCAAAACTGCATATATCTCCACCCCTCCTTCAGAGTGAAGGCACTGTACTTCCCACCTCCAGAACTCAAGTCCTGGAGGTGGGAAGTACAGTAATCACAGGATCTGCTCAATAATGTTCATGGCAATGCCAACAATTTCTTCAAGCACTGATATCTAGACACCAAATTCTCTCCAAGCACACCTGCCTTAGGGGGTACAATGTCATGCACTTTTGCATGCTGTTTTCCTTCATGTAAAGCAGTTTTCCCATACCCATACCAAATATTTAGAAGGGCTGAGAATAAATCAATGGGTAAAAAGAAAAGGTCACTAAAAATAATAGACCACAAAGAAGAGTTGAAGCGAGTTGGGAAAGATATAAACATTCTGGTAAACGATATTTCACTTGATATTATTATAATAAGCTCCCAAGACATGCATTTACTCACCCCAAATTTGCAACAAGGATTAAAGTTACCTCCTGTCAACACTGTTTTCTAAAGCTTTAGCATTCCTTAAAATCAAACTTTTCAGGGTTCAAGGATGTGATTACAAGTACACAACCATGTATAGTTATTTACCAAAACATCGAGGTCTGCAGTGTGTGTCTGGATGTTGTGCATATCGTCTTGTGCCACTTGGCTAAAAGATTTCAACTGTACTGGCCCCATCTCATGTACTGTAATAGCAAATGCTGCCATCCAGTCATAGCACTCCTGTAGATCTTCTGATGAGTAGCCAGAGACCTGAGTTGCCAACTGAGGGGAAATCATATAGCACATAGCTGTTGCTGCAACCATGCTTGAAGTGAATCCCAGACTTGACATATCCAGAGTACACAAATCTAGTAATCTTGCAACCTGAAAGAATTTAAATAGAAAAGTAAGAAAAATACTTCATGAAAGCCATGCAGAACTTGTCAAAAAGAAAATGGGGAAGGTTTTTGGTACTGTCAGTGTGGTAATGGAGTGTAAAATAGTAAGTGCTAAAATACATACATTTGAGCAAGTGCCTAATATAATTTTAAAGAAGACTGAATATCAAATTGCATCAGCAGAAAAAAAAAGCTCACTTTCATTCAACTAAAGCTTTATTCATTTGCAATTAAAAACAGAAGCTACAGTTAATTACATATGAGTTATATACAAAAAAATCAAAATGTAGATTGACATCTGATCCCACACCCTTCTTTTGTAACTAGAGAATTCTTCATAAAACTACTTAAGGATCCTCAACTAATAAAAACTGCAACCAATGAATGTATATTACAGGCCTATGAATCTTCATGGTAACACCATGTTTTCTACAGAAACTACACTACATTCTCAAGAGTGTAGGACTAATGTAAAATATCCAACAGACATTCCTGCCCGTGAGAGGTACCCTGATGCCAGTGAATGACTTGATCCAAGGAAGTGGGTTTGCCCTTGCATTCCTTGAATCCAATTCATTTGCCTCCCAGTTCTATACATTATATGAACCCTACCGGTTTAGCGCTTCCCCTCCCCTCACCTGATAATCATCCATAAACATCAGTAATCTTTCAAGTTTAGAATTTAAGGTTTGGCTATTTAACACAGTGTAACTGTATCATGTTCATTATCACAAAATGCCAAATAATTTTCCGAGTACAGGCACTCAACACTCATTCCATGTTGAAGACTAACCCCTAAACGGTCCAAACGTATATATACATTCTTACCACTAGCGCCCCAAACGTATATATACGTTTTAATTTTCCTGCCTCCAAATTTGGCACGACTGACCCGAGATGCCTGGTGAGCATATATTGGGTCTAAACATTCGGTGTGCACCATATTAAAAAAAATCTGGGACCTTTTAGTACCTTGTGGGAGCGCCAGTTAAATTGAGTGCCAGCTTGAGCCAACAGTGCAGCAAACACCAAGGATTCACTGATGTAATGTCATATTAACACTCCCCTTTTAAGAGAAAAGTAATGTTAACCCCAAGTTTTGGGTCTGTCTATCTCTATCTCTGTCTGTCGCTGTCTGACTGTCTATCTGTCTATCTCTTTTTATCTGTCTCACAGGTACACACAAATACAATTATACATAGTGTAAATTACCTAGGATAACCTAAACAATCTGAAGTGCTATACTGTGCTTGTAGATATAATGCATATGAATACCTGTTGGTTCATAGTGGCTCTCTCTGAGACAGACAGACAAGCAGAGAGACGGAAAGACAAGCAGACAGAGAGACAGATAATCAGAGACAGAGATACGAGCTCATCAAATGTCATCCCTTATCTCTGCACCTTCGCTGGCGCCCATCAAATGTCATCCCATATCTCATCACTGCCCTCCCGGATGCTTGTCACATTGCTTCGAGGGAGCCTCTTCCTTCTTCTTCTGTACTCCCGTGTGTCCAAAACATTGCTGGGACCTATAATACTTTGTATATATTACTAGACAATAGTAAATGACCAAGGCAGGTGTAAATGTCCATCTGTCAATGTGTTTGTGACAATCCGAGTACAATTTCAGTACCTAATATTAGTGTCAGAACAAAGATTGGTTATGAAATGCCAAGAAATACAATAAATTGTGATTATATCAGAACATAAAAATTATATAAAATAATATAAAATTGAGAAAAAATGGTATATCGGCAACACTTCCGCAAGCGGTGGGACTCGATGCTGCCATCAGGTGACCATTAAGTGCCAACTTTGTAGCCTCATATCTCAGTAAGTACTGACCCTAACTTTTTTATTTTAATCCTATTGCATTTAGAAAATTTTTTCTCTGTATTTCGAAGAAAAAAAAACTTTTTTTTTATTTTTCAAACTATTTGGGGCACTGGGGGAGAGAACCTATATATACGTTTGGACCATTTAGGGGTTTATGCCACTTTCATACATAATCAGTGTTTGCAGAGGCACTCAGATATGACAGTTTAGATGTCCCTCTAAACTGCCAATATCCCAAACCCTTCCTTTAAGTGCAGGCATTGTACTTCCCATTTCCAGGACTCAAGTCCGGCTATCCGGTTTCCCTGTATCCTGTCACAAAATATTACCCTGCTCACACTCCAACAGCTCATCAGGTCCCAAAAACCATTTGTCTCCATTCACTCCTAACACGCTCATGCATGCTTGCGTGATTTTTAATTTTTATTTTTAAATCTTATGTAACTCACCTGTACAAACTTGAGGGGAGAATACCGGGGAAAGACGAAGCTGTGGTCATCAGTGGCCGCATCGCCGTCACCCGATTCTCTTTGCGACTGTTCTTGTGCCAGCTGTAGATATGTATTTAACCAACAGTTGGATGTGATGGGGGAAAGGTCCCAGTTAAGTTTCTGCAATTTAAGTTACAAAAAATTATCATGTATCAGAATTGTACAGCATTACAAATTAATGTGCCTTGATATGATAATCAATCAGTTTTTCATCTTCACGAAGTGGGAAGACACTTGCTCTTTAAGGGTATGAAGGTCCTAAGTGTAAAAGCTAAATATTAAAGCAATTCAGAATCTTGTAAAGGAATATTTGTAGAGTACTGCACAGACTACAAAAGCTATTAAATGTAGTACAGTATATTATTGTGACCACGAACGAGTGGTATTGATCAACAACACTGCACTAGCCAAGGACTCGAACTCATGCTGCTTTGGCCTGCCTCGTGGTGGGCGAAAACATATGACGCCCTTATCCACTGGACCATATGAAGGATCGTATGGTCCAGTGGATAAGGGCGTCATGTGTTTTTGCCCACCATGAGGTAGGTCAAAGCAGCATGGGTTTGAGTCCTTGGCTAGTGCAGTGTTTTTATTGAGTAGTACAGTATATATTTTTACTAATAATTCCCAGTGCCTAACCTTAGTCCCATCATGAGAAATTAATACCATCATACTAAAGAACAAAAATGGAACAATACACAAGTAACCCACACATAGGAGAGAGGAAAGCTTATGATGACATTTCAGTCCATCTTGGACCATTTACCATTTACTGGTCTTATGTGCGAGTTATTTGTGTATACTATCATACTTGTATCTCATCTGTTGGACAAAGTATAAAGTATGTCACAAACTACTGTCCCACACAATACCACTTCACAGCAAAATATTATAAATTTCCACAGAATTGTTTTGCAAAATACTGAACTCTTTTTGCAGTGTTGTCCTTGACCAGCAAGAATCATTTTAGCAGCTGTTCTCTAAACACTATCAGCGGCAAAATTTTATGGACCACTAGAAAATTAAAATAATTTTCTATAAATAGCTGTACAAGAGGGTCCCACTTATACAGCAGGTTAGGTTCCAAGCTACTGCTGTAAAGTGAGAATTAATATAAAGTGAAACAGCCTTATTTTTTTCACTCTCAGATGTATATAAAAGCCTGAAAACATGTTTACACTATCATATATTATGTGAGCAATAGAGCTAGGCCTAAAAAATGCATATACAGTACACACATTACTTACCTTAAAATATTTTCATCCTTAGCTTATAGTGGGTGGTGAATATATTTATTGTAGGAAGTCTGAATAAATGAAGAATGAGTATAATTGAAAACCACTGTACTGTTGAAACACTGTAAAATGGGGCCTGCCTGTACCTGTTTATTATCGTTACTTGGGTTAAGTTTAGTTATTCTTGAAAGATCAGTTTGAAAAATCTTGGATAATTTAAGAAGACGAAAATTTAGGGGTTGAGGTGCAGCTGACAGTCAGAAGTCTACAACTGACACAGACATTACTGAAGCTAAATATGAGATGGAAAAACATTTTCTCAACATACAGTACCTTTAAAATGACTAGCTCCTTCTCCAAGATCTCATTATCTGTGCAAGCACCGTCAGTCACATACGCAAATTCCGAGAGCTTTGGTGGGTAAATTTCTTCTATTTTTGCTGCTATAAATAAACATGTTATACCTAAAAAAAAATAAGAAAATATAATATACATAGAAGTATATACAGATCAAATACTTACATACAATACATAAAATTTAAGAACTAGAATATCTGGACTACTCAATGGGAGTTAGTCTTCTTGATTCTGTACTGGTATATTATTTATATTTTCATATACAGTACATCACATACCCTCAAATTGTATTTCCTCAGTTATATAGGTACTGTACTTCACACATACATGTGGCATGTGATAAACAAATGGCCAAGAAGTGAACCACTGCCTTAAATGGAACAAACAAGTTGATATTGAGAAAAGACAGTGTATCACTACACTACAAATCACCTTCAGCAGCATATTAAATCATTATGAATACAAGAATTAACACTTAATACAAGACTAGCATTTTCTACACTCACTGTCTTAAGCAGGTTACTATTACAGAGATCAAAGACATACTGAAAAATAACAGCTTTGTCTATCTTCAGCTCTTTAAAACAATTGTTTCCCAGCTGTCCTCTTTTTTTCCCATTCCTTTATTCTAAATCTATACACAAAACTTGGAAAATCGTATAAAACGACTGTAAGCAACGCACAGAACAGGATTTAAACCTACAACACTTCAATTTTAAAATTAGAATACCAATTCACCATCCCAGCCCAATACCATTCATCCACTAAGTATATTTGTACATGCTACAGAGGTTAGCATGGTTCCCACTGTGACCACAAATCCAGTTTTAGATAGTCTCTCACCATCATGGATGTAGCAAGATACAGGTCCCTTCAAAGATGTTATCAGTCTTATTAGACTGGCATGGTGTAGTGGTCAGAGCACTGCTCTGCTGATATTAGCACTCTCTTGGCAAAGATCTGAATCCTGCCTGTTCCATCAGTTGAGTTGCTCTACACATAGGCTGCTTACTATCAGCATATACAGAATTTCAATGAACATACTCCTTGAAGCAAGATGATACATTTATAGAGAGGTGCTTAGCCTGTAAGGATCATGCAGCACCCAGAGCATGTACACACAAAGTCTCAGTTTAGTGAAATTATGACACATTGGCATCACACAGATATGAAAAGCAATGCTGCAGCATAGGTCTACTTATTTACCCAAGTGATTATTTTATTCATTACAAAAATTTTTCTTGGAAGGGAACTCTTGTGGCCACTTGTACAATGCTGGGTACATCCCAGCCTGTTTCTGTTCTTTCTAAAATTGTTACTGCCCATCTCTCTCATACTGTAACATGCTGTCACTAGTGTCATCAATGGTGTCACTTTCACTGTTTGTTTGTTTTTTTAAATATACTCTAACAATATTCTCTACCTATAAAGCATCGTGTCTTACAATCACATATTGCTGTACTGCAACCTGATTCCTATAATTAACAGTCACTATTACTTAGGCCTAAATCAGTGGAAAATGACCACCAGAAGTGTGTTTATGATAGGGCTTTCCTAATAGCATGTACATTCTTTCATTTTCTACTAGATCTGCATCAATATTAGTAGAATTGGCTCTTTCTGTTTAACACTAATTTTTTTTGTTTTAACACGTCGGCCATCTCCCACTGAAGCAGGATGACCCACAAAAGAAAAACTTTCACCATTATTCACACATAATCACTGTCTTTGCAGAGGCGCCCAGATACAACAGTTTAGATATCACTCCAAACAAGATTTATTTCATCCTTACCAGGAAAATCATTATCGTAATGCAGGCTTATGTTTCCAAGTAACTTGTGTAATGTGCATACCTTACAATTACCTTGTGACGTTTCCAAGTCACTGCCCCCTCCTCCCTAGCTTGGTCCCAGACTAAACCTCCTGGTTGCTGGCCCGTTTATGTTGGCCACACACAGTCCAATATACAGTAGACCGTCGCATAACACGTGATCCTCAGTTTAAGCACTGAACAATTCTCATGGTGATGTATACAGAAAATAAATTGTTCACCGAATATAAATTATCACACCTCACTAAAAATCAAAGAAAATGAAAACAGATATGACTAGATCAACATGCCAAGGAAGTGTATATGTATATTGTAGTACATGTATACATAATAAGCCTAAAAACAATGAAAAGGATGTCGAGCCTTATAGGACCCCACTTTTTGAAGCCATTTCTCATCTTTCTTATCTTCATATTTCTTACAAGAAACCTCTCATCCATTACAGTGATTTATATTTTTATACCTCGTATCATTCTGCAATTTCCAAACTTATCCCATAAGGCACTACCAAAATCCTTTTTAGAAATCTAAATAAATACAATCTATAACACTATTTCTTTCTTGTAGAATTTCTATGACAATTCTCTCTCTTATCCACACTGAATAAGATAGAAATCACAGCACTATCTCTGCATCTTTCATTTCTATCTATGTACCTTGTTTCAGTTTCCTGCATCACAAGTCTTTCCCTGTCTGCCATACCAGGTCCTTTAACGTATTTTGTACATTGTAATCATATCTCCCATGGTCTATCTATTGAGATCAGGGTCAGTTCTTTCAGTCATGTATTTCCCAAGGGTCATTCCTCACAGCTCTGAGGTTAGTCTCATTGTGAACTTCTGCATGCTCTCTCACATCCAGACATATTTATTCAGAAGTGGGCTCCATCATGGTGATGGATGATACTATATGATCGACCTGACAAATATTGTACATTGGGTCATGGATGACTGCTGTGCTTCCTGAAAGTAAATCCTAAGTTTGCAGGTCATGTATCTTCTGCAGAAGTTATTCGGTCGATGTGTGCCTCCAGTGATATGCTTGATTTTATACTCACCTCTAGGCGATCCTCCTCAAGCGAGCTCTACATCCCGTCCACCCAGTCTATAATTCGTTTCTGGTCTTCTTTTCCCTTTCCCCAATTTTCACAACCATGTATTTATTTGGGATGAATTCCAGAGGTCACTTGTTTGATCAACCCAGCAGTTTGTCCAGTTCATATTGCAGCCTTTCCCTGTCATCTTGTTTTATTCTCCTCATTATTTCACATCTGCGAATAGGGATACACAGGACTATCTCTTCTGCCATGTGGTTTGAGTATACAGTGGATGCTCGATCAACCCTCATGATGGGGTTGGGGCCGTGTACAAATAATCACACCTTTACAAAAGAGCATCAGAATTTTGGGCCCCTTTACTCTTATCTACCAGTTGTTTCATGAATGCAATTTTTACAATGTAAAAGTGATAAGAATTAGCAGAGTGCAATTCTTATCAGTGAAAAAATGGATGAATCTGTCAGCAATTTTTTTCTGAAGAGAAATTACTAAGTTGATAAAGCCTGGGGAGCAGATAAAGCAGGGAAGATGTTATATGGGAAGGGAGAGGTAGTGGAAACACAGAGAGAATATTTCGAGGAATTGTTAAGAGTTGAAAATTAAAGGGAGGTGGCAATATCCTGCCTTGGATAAAGAGGAAGACTTGGTAATATACATGGTAGGCAAAACAACACGCAGTAAATACTTGGGCTTTACACGTCTCGTTTATCATGTTATATACCTTAGATTTAACAAATCTTGTTTGATGCAGCAGATGCGAGGAATCTTAGAACAGAGACCATCTACAACACTATCGCTAACCTCTCGCTCACTACATAGACCTGACCTACTTCCACTAGTAGACCCCTCATATTTGACTTCTACAACTGCTGCACTACCCCATGTCTTCCACTAGCTCTTCTATGGAAGTCACTTTTCTCAGGTCTCTCTATTAAACTGATAAAGCCTCTGGTAGGTAAAATGTTTCTCAGTGAAAATATCAAGGTGATGCACGTCTTATTCATCAATCATGGGCAGGCATGTTATGGTTTGCTAGGTCATTTCAATGGCGATGTTGCACACTTCTGGCAATACAGTGATTGAATGAATAATGGTGAATGTTTCCTCTTTTTTAGGGGCCACCTTACCTTGGTGGGAGACAGCCAATGTGTTAAACATTAATATATGATACAATAACCAAAAAAATAATAAAATAATTCATTATCAACACCAAAAGTAATACATATAAGATCCACTTTTACAATAAGGATCCCAGACTAGATGCACTTTTGTCGTTAAGCAACTGAAAACTTGCAAAACCAAGTTCAGTTGATGAGAACGCTTGAGAGCTACTGACCAGAAACCAAATTATTAAATTATTAAATTATCAATTATAATAATTTTAACAAAGACAAACTCATACCCCCTACAACTTCAACAACCACCCCATCCATGTCTTATCATACCCCCTACAACTTCAACAACCACCCCCATCCATGTCTTATCATACCCCTACAACTTCAACAACCACCCCCATCCATGTCTTATCATACCCCCTACAACTTCAACAACCACCCCCATCCATGTCTTATCATAACCCCCTACAACTTCAACAACCACACCCCATCCATGTCTTATCATACCCCCTACAACTTCAACAACCACCCCCATCCATGTCTTATCATACCCCCTACAACTTCAACAACCACCCCCATCCATGTCTTATCATACCCCCTACAACTTCAACCACCACCCCCATCCATGTCTTATCATACCCCCTACAACTTCAACCACCACCCACATCCATGTCTTATCATACCCCCTACAACTTCAACAACCACCCCCATCCATGTCTTATCATACCCCCTACAACTTCAACAACCACCCCATCCATGTCTTATCATACCCCCTACAACTTCAACAACCACCCCCATCCATGTCTTATCATACCCCCTACAACTTCAACAACCACCCCATCCATGTCTTATCATACCCCCTACAACTTCAAAAACCACCCCCATCCAGTCTTATCATAACCCCTACAACTTCAACAACCACCCCATCCATGTCTTATCATACCCCCTACAACTTCAACCACCACCCCCATCCATGTCTTATCATACCCCCTACAACTTCAACAACCACCCCATCCATGTCTTATCATACCCCCTACAACTTCAACAACCACCCCCATCCATTGTCTTATCAACCCCTACAACTTCAACCACCACCCCCATCCA